CCCTGTGAGAACTGAGCAGCATCACTAAAGACATGCAATGTCCATCAGTGCTTTCTTTAAATATCTCTCCAAGGGCTGTCGTAGAATACGTAATTTAACCTTTCATGCAGTGATTTGTTCATACAAGGAGAAAAGGGGCCTCTCTGCATCAATTCACGCCATTCGCAAATATTCAGATGGCGTGATTACAGAAATACATGCCTCCCATCACGTGGCACTGCCATGGAAACCCCAGTTTCAAACGAACTTATTTTTAACAAATTGCAAAGATTGATTACTTTGCAGGTTAGGGTTCACGTTCATTCGCTCCTGTTTACCCCGGAGGAAAGAAGTATACATGTGCAGTATAAGATCATTTAACTTCACACTCTGAATTTCGGTATTTATTTTTGCTGCTGCCTTACCAATAATATATGGTGTAAAAAAGCAGAGAAGGTTTAAAAAAATTATATGGTGTGTACAGAACAGAATATGTCCTAATAACAAAAAATCGTAAAAATCATAAGATGATAATGAAGTAACCAAACCTAACGATTTCTCTAATCGTAAAAAATAAGCTAATATAAAGATTAATCAAACCTAACGACTCCTCTCATCGTAGAAATCATCATAAGCAATGAACATATACATAACCAAAACTACCGACTTCTGTAATCGTAAAAATTATAAGCTATAGTATTAAGGTAAACCAAACCTATAACGATTTCTCTAACCGTATAAATCAAACTTAACGACTTCTTTAAAACGAAGCGTTATTTGACCTGGTCAAGGCAATCAGTTTGGTCATTCTGTGCCCTCGATCCAAAGTGCCGAAACCACTGTGACTATATACATCACGCTACTTCAACACTGACGTGATTTTACAATATAATTTCATAACTCCACGTTATGGACGGTTTCCATTAAAAAATTAGTAGGCCTACTGGGCTTCTACCGGGTACGTTATCGTTGCTTCTTTACTGTCAAAACCCCTTCCTTTGGGATTACCGTAGCTCAAACTAATCAGGCAATCAGGCACGGTTGATATAGCCTTATAGCAAAATCCCTGCAAACAAAAATTTTGACTTGGTCACAAACTACTCGCAGAAATACAGTCTGGACCTCTAATGATTTATAAAAGAATTGGAAAATAACAATCTGTTCATAAATAATCCCACCGCTGCCACCAGTCCTGTTCCATAAATGTAAAATATTGAACTTGTTAGCATGGTAGCGGACGAGACGGAGTATCTAAGACAGCTGTTTCGTCTTGGTTCTGGACATCGATATGTAGGATTGCGTTGGTTGACGTCTGAAACAGAAAATGGAAATGGGTACTTTGAAACAGCTAATATATTCCATTAAAGTAAACTGTGTAAATCGATAGCGGGACACTCAAAAAATAATTTGCTGAATCAATTTCTAATACAGTTCGAGTATTTAAAAAATTCATGTCGGAAGACGCATCTATTTTGGATTGGAGCAAATAAGTTATCTGAATTCAAATTTGCACCGGAGTAATAAAATCCACCAAAATCCGGGTCTTATTTCATCTTCACACTTACCACTGGGATAACTAAAGTCGAGGTCACAGAGTCGAGCAATTTCATTAAGTACTCCCGAACTATTCCTTGGATCAACTTCAAAGTGGTACAATGGCAGGTACACGGTTTCCAGTTCCTGCATTGTATTGGAGTATCGACCACCGTTATTATTCCTTCCTCGATCGCTGTAACGATCCCTGTACTGGTCCCTGCCTTGGTTGTCGTATGGGTCTTGATTTCTGTCTTGATTCCTGCCTGGATTCCAGCTCTGACTTCGGTCTTGGTTCCTGCTCTGATCCTGGTTCCTGTCTTGACCTTGACCTTGACCTTGACCGTGGTCTCTGCTTTGGTCCCGATCTGTGCTTGAGCCCATGCTCCACCTCTGATCACCTCCGTGGCCTCGATCCCTATCCCGGTCTTGATCCCTACCCTGACCTTGACCTCGATCTAGGTCATAGTCACGGGAACGATCCCTATCTTGGTCTCGGTCCGGTTCCCCTCCTTGGTCCCTGTACGGATACCTGTCTTGATCTCGACCGCCGCTATATCTGTAAGGTTGATCACGACTGCCATCACGTCCTCCACCCTGCCCGTAACCTTGACTTTGGTCTTGACCCTGACCTTGCCCTTGATTGTATCTTTGACCTTGATCTTGACCGTACCCCTGGCCTCGATTATACGTCTGATCGCGTTCGGATCCTCGTCCTTGATCCCTATGCGATGTCGATGCCGTTGTTCTCTCTGAATTCACTTGGGTCGCAGGAGGTCGTCTGGGGTCATGTGATGATCTGCTTTGGTTCTTGGTAATGAAGACGACGTACTCGTGACCTATGTCTAGCACGTGGTTCTCGCAATGTCTGCTAGTCTTAGGGAATCCTAGAATGAAAGTAAACATGTTTTAGGGCGTGGTAGTTACGGCAACGCATCTCTGTGTGTTTTACAAGTCGTATCTCATGGAAATATTCCATCAAATACTACAAGTAAATTAAAACTTCTGGTTGTGGTGAAATAAGAACAACCATTGCGTTTTATTCTTTTCGTTATTCCTTTTTCATCCAAAAAAGAAAATTGAAAGTTATATAAATTTTTCCTCTCTGGAGAAATTAAAATCCAGAGTATTGTATTTATTTATTTATTTTTTTTTTTTTTAGCTTTTCAACAAGTTTCAAGGCCAGTGGTTTGAAACATTTGCCCTAAGAAAACTATCAAATATACCGGTGCTTTAATTTAAACGGACTTCACAACACCAGTCATGGCCGTAAACAAAACTTTTCTTTCTGTGTTTGCTCTCTTAATATTGCTTAAATGACCCATCTGTGTTTAAGCGGACGCGCAGTCGAGCGATGCGAGCAAAAGCTTTTTTTGGGGGAAAAAAACGAGAACAAAATACCTTAACGCAAGGCCTTTGGGATTGATAGTTACTGATGCGAATGTTTTGCAAGCAATTTGTCAGCTCTATGGTTTGTCTCAAAACGATAGAGTATAAGTCAATGAAAGTGAACTAGCAATTATTTTCCATCATTAAATTTTTTTGTGAAATAGTAAGTATTTCTATGTCATTGGCACACCCATCGGCGATATGACAGCCCTATAATTTCGGAAATTAGGCCTCCGAAGCATCAAAATCACACTAAACATAAGGTAAAACTTAAGGAAGGCAAGAAAGAAAAGAAGCAAATGAAATTGGGTTACTGTTATATTAAAAGTCATTGGGGTTACGAAATATAAGACCCCATTACTTGACATCCTTGAATTTGCGAATGCTCGCTTATGGATTAAAAGTGCCAATGTTATTCAGCGTGACTGCTCTTGTCAGCCATTAAACTATTTTCCATTCTTTTGTCGCTATATAAAACCACGGACATTAAAATTTGTAATGCTGTCAGAAATTAGAAACCACGATATGTGAAATCTCCGATCTGCCCCGAGGTAACGGTAATATTAATCAGCCCTTTTGAAAAAAAAAAAAAAAAAAAAAAAAAAAAAACCTGAACGTTAATTCCGTACATGTGGAGTTCGGAGGAGGTAAGCGTCGGATCAAAATACCAATCTCGTATCTTTGATACCCATGGCAGCTGAAGAACCCATCTCAGTGGCTTTAACGATGAGCGTCGCTTTCATTTGGGATAAGGGTCGGGGTGAAAAGTTCGTTTGGGTCATGAAAAAAGAAAAGCAAATTACGCTACTTGTAACTGGCAGTTTTTTTTACTGCAGTTTACTACCCAAAGGTGAATTAAGTAAAAGCGAATTGCAAATCGCCTTAATGGTAACTTTTTGTTTTCAATTTGCACTGCTTAACAATGTCAAAGAGTTTTCAGAGTTCTTCATATATATGCCCTGGAAATCCCCCGGAGCTTGAGCGTTTCAACTATTCCTTTCCACCTCCTCATCTCTTTCTCTCTCTCACTGTTGTCACTAAAGTCGTGCGTAATATTTCGCGCACTATAATCAAATCCTTGTTTGCATACAGTTGGAACATTGTTAAAAACAGAGGGGTGTAAAATAGTTATTTTATCCTTTTAAATTAAATTTCTATTGTGACTAAATACCTATACGGTCAGAAGAAACACCTTACTAGCAAATGATTAACACGCCTAGTTTCGGGTGGAACCTTATTGCAGTGAACTTTTTTTAAACTACTCAACTGCTACTCCACAACGGAAGAAACTTAACGTCAATTTTCTTTCTGTAACGCGCCACGGGTGATGCAAAAGACGACGATATGACACATTTCGTCGGCAAATATCTACAGGCATTTCGAAAACATTACAACACCGCACGTAACAACCCAGCACGAGAGCATTGCCCAAGCTTGCAAGGCTGAAAACGAGTTTTAATTAATGCCTCTCCCGCTGAATTATGTGTTTCTTCTTCGTTTTATGTTGGAACGCAGGAGCGTAATTGTCTGTCTGCATGCGGATCTGCTGGTCTCGTCGATGTTTTCCTTCTGTGTTGGAGCTCAATCCTGTTTGTGTGTGTGTGTGTGTGTGTGAGAGAGAGAGAGAGAGAGAGAGAGAGATAAAAATAAAGAAGAAGGGCGTTGAAACAGACATAATTAAGAAATCCCCTTTCCAGACAACGTGGCTATTCAGAAAAGAATGTTCCAGCGCGTTCAAAGTTATTCCATAATGAAAGAAACTTATACACTTGTTAACGATCATAACAGACTCAGCAAACTGCTGGCAACGTTAACCTCTTGACATAAAGAAGGAACTTCGATATAAAAATGAACGGCTCAGACGGGTCTCGACATAAAAACGGGCGCAATTTTTTATTGATTTCGTAAAGTTGGATTGTCAAGTCCCACTAAACGACATTTCACCAGGCTCTTCTGAAATAAAGACATTTGATTTAAAAGTATACCCAAGAGCCCAGACCGTTGTTTTCAGAGTATTGGTGCTTGCGATATCAGGCTTGAACCAACATTCATTTCTTATTACAGTATCAAATATGCTTCAGCTGAAGGGGGTTGATGAGATTTTAAACATATTAATCAAGCCTTTCGTTCGTTGAAAAAACTCATTTACATACCCTTCATACTAGTGTTAGTGTTGAGCTTTTTTTTTTTATAAGTGTCCGCATGCATGTTTGCGTTGATGCATTGGAGCCGTTTGTAATATTAGCTATCGTAGGCACTTATTGAAACAGGTCAACCAGAAACTTATGAGGCCTTGTTTCTATAAGCTACCTTCTATTATAAGCCAGAACGGTATTCAGCTTCATGTGGCCACTGAACTTAATTCAATTATAAAACATTTGTACTGAGCAGTTCGGATTCATTTCCAGTTGACTAATGAAAATGCATTTCTAAAACTTTGCATGGGCATGTTAGTATAACTGCGCTGTTCATACGCGGAGAAAAAGATTACCCCCGTTTTTAGCTTTTTAGTGCAAGATTAGAAGACCCGCGTAAGAGTAGCTTAAAAGAACGGTTATTTACTGTCATATCAACAGCCTCTGTTGTTAACTGACATCTTAAGCAATCTCAAAACAATTGTTACCGCTGTTCAGACGCAGAAGCGTCAAGTCGAATTATACTATTTTTAAAAGTTTTTTTCCATAAACGTATCATTGTATCATTGCACAATTGCAGATTTGAAAGTTTTCGTGTCGTTATGGAGATTTGAAATAAAGCATACGGTTTCTTTTTGTCTCATATTCCTGAAATTAATTATTTTTTATTCATCAGAATCATGAAAATTGTTGAAATTTATTTATTTTATGATTTCAGTAAAATACATCTAATTTATTTTTATCATTAATGGAGAGAGAGAGAGAGAGAAAGAGACCCAGCAAACACAGAACGTTACTATAACGTTACCGTAACGTTTTTGGTTATATTAACGCTATGGTAACGTTATGACAACGTTCTGTGTTTGCTGGGGAAAAAAAAGAGAGAGAAGAGAGATAGAGAGAGGTAAAGAGAGGGGGGAGAAACATAACAGGAAGCTTAAGAAATTAAAGATAATCGGGTCCTACTCACTTGTATCAGATATGTTAATATAGCGTTTCACGGGCTCCCCGTAATAGATACACCTGACTTCCATATTAGCGACGTACGGGTTCTCAGGCACGTGGTCATGGTGGACAGGATAGTGCACCCGAACTCGACCGTAAACAACTGCGTACGGTTTGTGCAGCATCATGTACCGGTAAAACGTCTCTGACTGATACTGCTCCATTGGCGGGCAAGATTCCGTAGTGGTGAAACTCGGCGTTGGCGCTCTTTGGCCATAGTCGGCAATTGCTGAGGATGAAAGTAACAGGAGAGAAAAAGCGAACAACATCGTCATCGCAACTTTTTTTCCCCGCGAAAAATGTTCTTCAGTGCAACAGGTAGGTGTGTTTGCGTACGTCGGACGTTTCTGTTGGTGTGTTTCTACCCTTTGCCGGAGAGGTAAAAGCATTCCAAATGTCAAAGTATCTGCTCCGTGAAACAAGATTTTTTTTTTTATCACAAATTCAGATGGATCGTGTAATGACGTCAAAATGGCCACTCGTTGAAAAAAGTGGCGCGAAAGTCGTTTGGTAAAGTAGACGCGAAAAATAAAGCCAAGCATGATTAGGGGTAAAATTTGAAGATCGGTTTCGTGGCTGTATATGTGACCTTCGAAAGTCCCCTCCACCAACTCGAATGGTTATGCGTTCAATACATTAGACCTACATGTTAAAACAACAAACATTTTTGTCAGCCATAAGCTAAAATCGAACGCTCAGAAAGCTTAAATCATGCATGGAGAGCCCAACAAGTAACTTAGTATCAAAACTGATTTCCTAATTGTTTCCTTCTAAATATTGAATTTCCAAAACTTTGAAAACCATTTGAGTGCATGCCAAAACAACGGTTAACTTTTTGAGTTTAGTCACAGAAAATGAGAAAATATGTGGGCTGTGGCTGTGGTAAAATGCAAGGTGCTATGAATGCCATGGGGATTTGAAAGTATTTAGCAAAATTGAACGAGGGGGGGGGGCACATATGCTTATGCAACAGACAAACAGTTTCACAAAATGAGAATAATGGGAACAAAAGATTTTACCAGAAAAAAATGATACCGTTTTTGCTTTGCTTTCGTGGTTTTGGTCATTTTAAGTCGATTTCATCATACTTTTAACTATAGTCATGCTGCACTTTGACATAATACAACTGTAATCACAGAAATAATTTGATTAAGTGCACTCCCCGGCTGATCACATGTTGAAAAAACATAACAGCTATAGCCTGTGTGTCAGGGCACTGTAAAGCTAGCTTCCTCACTATACCTTTTCATGCGTTAGCTTTGCGGTATTGCTGATGTGGGTTTCATATGAAATCATCATCGAACTGGCAATACCGAAATCTAGAACCTAGGGTAAACAGCTAGGACTTTTGCCAAAAATTCAGTGGTTAAAATATGTTGATCGAGCTAAAGACATTATCCAATTAGGATTTGAAAAACAGCAAATACAAGCCAGAGGGACAATCGTACATGATTTGTCGGTCTTACGACCCTTGGACTTGAGCCTAAAATGACCGTTGTCTGACACGACTTCAGGTCAATTTCTTCCAAACTAATGCCTTTTTAATTTGAAACCATGAATGTTGTTGTGTTCCATTAAAAAGCATCAAAGAAAGAGGATTTGATACATAAATATCCCTTTCGGTACAAAAAAGTCCGATTAAGTCGAATTTAGTCCGAACGAAAAAATGATACATGTAGAAGCAGATTGCACACCAAGTGAGTTTGGTAGTTAATGTTTCAACCAAAAAGGTATCACTTTTCTGTCATAAACCAATTTCATCTTGACGAACATTTCCCGCCTTGAGAAAATACAATTAAAATAAAAGAAATATTTTCATGGCTTGGTATTGTTGCCATTTTGACTGACATAGTATGATTCCAAATAAAAAAATTAAAAAGGTTTTTTTTATTATCTATTCACATTGCATTTTAAAGTCTACTGGACAAAATTGGATTTTAGACTCAAAATAATAATAATAATTATTATTATTGCAACTATCCCTCCCTCTCTCCCTAGTTACATGTGCGTGCACGCATGCACAGGTCGTCATCAGCTTTTTATTTTATTTTCATTATTTTGTTTAAAGATTTTTCTTTCTCTTTGCACCAATGAAAAAATCATGACTTTTTTTCTCCTTCTGCAAACCTTGCCAAGATTTGAGCTCAGTAATTTATTTCTAGTAGCGTGAGTTATATGATGTGTAACATCCATTGCCTAAACTCAAATCGGTAACCACAGTAAACCGCCTTTTGATCTCTCTTCGTTTGACCCGATGTCGCGATGGATAATTGAACTAAACAAAAAGAATTTCAAGCAAGACTCGCGTTTTCGCTTTACATGTAAAACAAAAATTATTGGCACTGAAACTGTCTCATTCAATAAGACTGAAATAGAAACATGCCTCCGTTAATTTTTTCGCCGAGCTGTAAAACGGAACAAGACATTTTGCAAGTAGGCCTACCGGTATTAGTCTATCATAGTAATGACATGACTTATGTAGCTACAATACGAACTTTGACGTGTAACACAAAACTCCCCAGTTAAGAACAAGTCTTTAATGATTTGCTAAACCAAATTTCTTCAAGTTTCAGTCTTCAAGTTGTAAAGTTTAAAAATATACTTATTTCACTCTATGTCTACGTCCGTGATTAATAGCTAATAATTTTCCATCCAGTTTATGCCCCATATCTTTTGATTATTATACACCTGATTAAAGCTGGATTCACTATTCAGTCATAACACACAAAAAAGTCCCCCCCCCAAAAAAAAAAAAAAAAAAAAAAACTGCTTAATCTAATTACGTGTAGTTACTTAATAAAACCATAGGGGCAGAGTTTGTATTCAAGATAGAGTGAGTAGAAATTCTAGATAGAGACAGCTAAAAGTGAGAAAGGGAGAAAAATATCTACGCAGAGAAGAGGAGGGAAACGTATTAGATAGACAGGCCTACATAAATTCAGAAACCTGTCGTTATATTCCCTCTCCAGTACTAGTGCCGCAGTGAGAGGAAATTTCACCCAGAGCGTGGATTCATACGTAACATCGATCGCTACACTACCCCGAGAACATGTGTGATCAAACCAGCAGGCGGGACGTCACACCGACGTAACCTTGGCAACGCGTCACATAACAAACACTGACTAAGGCCCTCTTTTTCATAAGTCTACTTTCAGATCGCCCCCCCCCCCTTTCAGAAAGTGCAAGTTGAAAAGCTAATAATGATGACCTTTGAGTAATCGCCGCTCTGGTAGTAAAATGAATTTTTTTTATAATTCTATATGTTGTTTACTACCATGCATTTATTGTGGAATTTTTAATCTCACATGAAGAGTCGTTATCCCTTTAATTAATTTACTTAAGGGTATTATTATAATCATCCAGACACCGAAAATGAGATTTTCTTGCATCGAATTATTCAATAATGCGTCTATCTTTGTGCTGTTTTAAAACAATAAAAAATCCCCTCGAAAATATAAAATATCGGCGTTTACATTTCTCGTGGAAATGTATAATCATAGGCAACTCAAAGCTTAATTAGGCTATCGTCAATTTAACACCTTTCTATTTTGAGGTGAGATAGCAATCGGTATGGGGCGTATCGTCATCCCTGAATTTTTTTCAGAGGCCTATGTAGAAAACCCTACACTTTGAACGTGTGGAGCGGAGTGAAGCTGTACGCAGACCTGAAATTGCAGCAGATGCGCCGAAAGGCTCGACCTCTTCCTGTCCTTCAATTCTTCGTCATTCATTCGCTTTTTTTTCTTTGGTCAGCGTAAAGTGTGAAGATTCTAGACTTATACAGTACGCTGTCAGTACTTGGAGATCATGTCCTGTTTTTATTTTAACCTGAGCCCTATAGAATAGGATCGGAAGATGTGTGCTCTCCGCAGTGGGATCTACCTTAGGCCTACCGTTGTGAACACAGGTCCAGTGATGTTCACGTTCAGGAGACTCAGAGGAACTATTCAGTCAAGGCAGCTCTTACGACGTTCTATCACACACAAAGGTAATATTGAGGTTAAATAATCTACGTCTATCTCTCACATTATTCTAATTTTATGATTTATCTTTCTGGAACAGCGGTATCAGGCCTGTCAGGCTAACAAGTAGTGAATGTGTTAGGTGCGATGACTGCGGTAACCATTGTGTTTACTTAATGACCGGAAGTGTAGGTTATTTACCGTGTCTAGGTCTGATTCATCTAAAGTATTAGGGAAAAGATGAATGAAAATATATCATGCACATAAGTGACATAAGATATAAAGCATCTGAAACAATTTTGAAATGCCATGGTTTTTAAGTGTACTCGTTACCTCATCTTATGTTTTTGATGCTTAAAATCGACCTGCTCCTTCGTAAGCATCGGTGGTTCAGTGGTAGAATGCTCGCCTGCCACGCGGGCGGCCCGGGTTCGATTCCCGGCCGATGCAATGTTTTTATTTTCTCTCCCGCAAGGCATTATCGTTCTTTGTACTTCAAAATTGGAAGTAAAGGAGTTTTAACTCTAACTCGTGTAATTCATCAAACATTGATTAATCAATAAGGCATTTCATTTAAAAATCCATCCGCGAAGTTAATACCACACGTGCCAGGAGACACGCCTGCTACAAGATCTACTCCACATGGTTTTTCTATTAACCTACATAACTGGCCTCTACAACTTTCCAAAATTATTCTGTCTGTTTGCACCATGCAGCTCAGTTAAGTCTCATTGACCTTTATCCTCATTGTCGTCACAGTACCGCGTGACCCAGATCTGTTGTTTCATTTATGCATTTATTGAGGTGAGGTTTACTAAAACGCTCTTTTACTACTAATAGATTGTTTTTATAATTTTTAAATGGCGGGGATCGATTAAAACATACCTCTAGTGTATAGATTGAGTGCTGAATCTTCAAAATTCGAGAAATGGATTTCTATATGACCATTGTCCTTTAATTTGTGCGTTCTTTCCTGTGAGCGCTGTCTGAGTAACATAACCTCAGCTTTTTTACGCCGTTTGTTGATTTCAAGGCTATTGCATTTGCGGGGTTAATTGAGCGTTATTCAACAGACAATTCAAAGACACTTCGATCCAATGTTAAAAAGACTCCATCTGTAAAATTTATATGCAGGCGTACACAGAAAAAGAAGGACTCGGCTGCTGTCTGTACTCTCCTGCTTATTCAGATTGATAAATCTCGCTTAAAATAGTTCAAGTTCATTGTTACATCTCCATTGCTACAAGCAAGCAATTAAAAAAGACAACATCGTAGCCGTTAGTTGGACGAGAACGGACGATCCCTGAAAGGGACGTCCGGCAGAATTGTCGCCCTGGTCACCGTGGTCGTGGGAGTGAGTGACCCAGTCCGGAGTGGGCGGGGCTGTGGGGGTGATGCACAGACCGCTGGCCGCCGCTGTTGGACACTGGTAGCTGGACGTGGATGAAGACAAACCTATAGGGATGGGGAAATAGGAAAGAAATGCAATTAGTTTTGAAAAAAATCCAAATGTTATAGGAACAAAATAAATTACTGGATGGATCCTCCTGATTTTGCTGTAAGGTACCCAACTCGGACTGATTAAAAAAAGAAAAAATAATAAAGTAAATGAGCAAAAAGGAAGTGATATGCTACTTTAATTAACGTTATTTTTTGCCTCCATTGCCACCAAGACCACTGGATAATTCCAGTGTCACCACACCCGCCGTCACTTAACACACACCCGACTATGTACAGTAGGTGTCTTTCAAGTTTACACTGCTCTCTCCGCCTTTTCCATGTTTTACGCGCGGTGTGTGAGTTTCTCGTTTAATGGCTCATTTCAAAACGCGGGATACCATTTCAATTAAAGAATATAGGTGGTTATTCTTGCCTGTAGTCATTTATATATATATATATACATACGTTCAAGGCCAGTCAGATTTAGTGAAGCGTAAAAATGACAGCCCCCATATGTCTTCGAAACCACACATTAGTTGGTCCGAATCAGGTGAGAGTGAGACTTTCACCGCACCTTGAATTCGCTTCCGATAACAGACAATTTCTAGCATATGTGACAATTTTACCCCGGACTTCAGAAATATAGTCCACGGGTAGAGGGGGGGGGGAAGATTCTGAGGAGGGCATAAGTCTTAAGGTCACTTAAAGAGTTCAATTGCATACTAGTACGTAATCAAAACTGACGTTAAAGCTAACAAAGACTGACGGTACTCTTAAGGGGGTAATGAGAAAAAAAGTACACAGCAAACATATGTGTATATATTCAACGCTGTATATCACGACATCACAACAATTTCCTGTGTTTTGTCTCAAAGTATTCATTGGGATCATTTGATGTCGCTTAAACCGAGACTGTCGGCACTGCTTGACGTCATAGGCGACTATCTAGAAAACGTGCGAGAATCCTCGTTAACTTTCTAGCGATAAGGGTGGATCTCTGTGCACCGGTGTGAACGAAATGCAATGAACTGCACGTAAGAAGAAATAACCTGAACAATATCCGTGTATAAATTCTGTTTCCACACTCGCTAGTACGCCATTAATTATGCCCCCTCTTCTCCAAACCCCACGAAATCTCGCCTGAATTTACTCTTAAGTTATGAGACCTGGGGCTAACTGATGATTCGTGTTATTCCAGACGTTAATAGTTCAACAAGTGCTGTTTAAGGTTATGATCATGATATAGACAAGAAATCAACATTGCATTGCTAATGAATTCATGTATTCTTACAGGCAGAAGCCCAAGCATGAAAAAAAAAAAAAAAAAAAGACTAGAAAAGCTATATCTACCAGTATTTCTTTGATAACCTAATTCTTTAATATTAATGAAATATATAAGAATGCATCGTTATTTGAAAACTTTTAATGCAACATTGCAATACATTTTGAATAGTTGTACAACTGTGACACAAAGTGTTGAGAATGAGTAAAAAAGTCACACACCTGTAGGATAATGAACATTCATTCCGCAGAACTTCAGCAGCTCAGTAATCTGGGACTTGTCTGACGTCACCTCCACGTGATATAGAGGCAGGATCACGTGGGTCGGGTGGTGCTGATGCTGAAGGAACAACATGTACTCTTTTTCTTTCTGCAAGTAGTGCATTTCACACGCTACACTGGTGTGGACAAAACCTGGTAAAAAGAATGCATCAGTTAATTAACAATTACAGTACAGTTTAACGAGTAACGTGATCACTTGCGGACCACGAGAGAAGGACTGCGTTTGGTTATAAAGTATAACTTTTTATAACTTCTTGGTTTGGTTAAACAGGGAAATGTGCAGGAATGAATATGGGAAATGGGAGTAATAAAAGGACAACCTCTTTCTTCCTTTCTATGCATTTTGCTACCAACTGCAATGATCACTGCTGATGTCAGGAGATATGTGTTTAATAACGTTAAATCAACATTCCCTTTTATTTCGACGACAAAAATAATTGTTTATATTAAAATAATGCAACGTAGAAAAATGGTTGTATAGAACCCGAAGAAAGGGGAATTCATTGTCTACTTTGGATATAAATCTTTGACGTGACTTTCAAAATAACGATATTTTTTTTACTTTTCTATTCAAAATTTTTATTTATTTATTCATTTTCGCATCAGTTGTACATAGTGCTATTATAATCTTCTTCCCAGTTACATTTTGCAATTTAATGTAAACGACATTTATCAAAATAGATTGTTTACATATCAAGGGCAATGCGTTTATAGTTTGACAGACACCCGTTAAGTAGGTAACCTCTTAATTTGTGCACTTTTTAACCACTGAGAAGTTGCCTTAAAGGGCATTCCTAAGACAAAATTAACTGTCTGGACCAGTGCGAGGACCCAGGAGGTCTTCAGTACATTTTGTAGACAACTCTGTCATTTTCGAATATTATATTATTTTTACTATGAAGTTCTAGGTTCGTAGTTGTCATGATTGGAATAAGTCTGTGAGCTTAAGATATAAAGACTCTAAAAAAGCGTGAACAGATATAGATAGCTAGGGCCCAACCCAAACTAAAAAGAATGCAAGGGTATGAAAATATAGATATGATCGAAAGGAAAGGGCTGTGTGAATATAGAATAATAATAATAATAAGAAGAAGAAGAACTGACCTGCTTTGGTAATATTAATCTCAGCTGCGCTAGCCTCCGTTTCTTCATCACCCCCGTGGTCCTTAAAATGGCAGAACACCGAAATGCTAGCCGTGTACGTCTCCTCGTGGTCACCTGCACCGTCTCCGGTGTGCACGTGTCCAGCGTCATCGTGCACTTGGTCAACGTGGTGGTAGTGGTTGTCCACGCGGCCATAAATGACCATGTTGACCAGGGGGTTCGCCAGCGCTTCTTCCATGGAATGGATGCCGTGTTCACGGGCCAGAGAGGGAGAGCAGTCGGTGTCCGCCAACGTGAGGTCCGCGCACGCGTGCGCGAATACGAGCAGCAGGAACATTGCACGTGTTCTCATTTTCGCCTCCTGCAACACAGTCCCAAGGAAATGTACTATCCCACTGACAAGCGCCCGCTTCAGATCTGTCTCGGCAAGGAAAACTATTAAAATGACAACCTCTTCTTGCGCTATTAATGTAAGAAAAGCGAGTGGCGCACTGGGAACGTTAAAACCCGCGCCTTTTGCGTGGTTGTAATCTAATTAAAGCGCGCACCGGGGACGAGAAAAGCTCAGCTAAAGAGTTAAAACAACATGCATGTGTTTTATGTATAAACGGTTAAGCGTAAACTGGGGGGTATGAACCTCGTGATCTAACTGCTGGCTACGTGACAGTGCCACCACATCGAGGTACACCAAAGGTGGAAACCGACAACTTACAACATCTTTTTGGTCCTTTTAAACCTTTGCTCTTTTTTTCGATTCTTATGCCTGAATTATTTTGAGGTCTTTAATTTGTTGATTTTGACATGTGCTGAAGCAGATGGTAGTACTGGAAAGAACATGTAATGTTGTTGTTTTTTCAACAAAACTATGCGCTGTGATCTTTGGCTTTGGAAGGGGGAAAAAAAACAAAAAGAGGGATTCTATGTTGTACGAGTACGTTAGATGTTCCCAGTTTTGCTTGTTACCATACGGAAAAACACTTATTATTTTAGTGCGTGGAGTTAACCGGTAGGCCCGTGACAAACATTAAATAAAATGATAAAATGAAAAAATAAGAAAAAGGGTAGAAATTCGGGGTATTATACAAAACATAGATGATGTTTATCAAAAAAAAAAAAAAAAAAAAAAAAAAAAAAAAAAAACTCATTGATTTTGAAAACAGAAATCACTCTGTCACTTTTTATTTTGCTGGCGCAGATGTAAAGGTGATGGGATAGAGCTATTGTTAATATGCCCTGATTTATACGTCACCAATCATTGGAGAAATATAGAAAGGCACCCGTCAACAGTTTAATTTATTAACGTTCACTCTTCCTGTTTTCCTGGCCTTTCAGTCACAATAATGACAAATAGGCGAAAATTATCCCCATAATCACCCGGGTTTTTTTGGCAGCGTGTATACACGTAATATAATGTATTGTTTAATTCTAGTGAATTTTAACAGTCCACTTTTCCAGAATTCATACCAGACCAAGTATGACGTCATAGTACCGACTGGCCAATACGCTGACAAGTCACGTGACACACGGATTGTCTATATATCCGATATATACGCCCATTTGATATTAAAACCGGTTACATTTGTGAAACAAAGCTTATTGTTTTCAATGGAGGGTTGAAGCCAAGCGTAGTAGCGTTTGGAGAAATAAACCGTACAGAGAATGTTAAAACAGATGTTTTGGACGGAGGTTTCACATCACGCGTAAATCTGACAAAGTCCAACAATTTCTATGCTTATGCAAACGACAACTTATGAGATAATCACAAACTGTTTAATGCTGATTAATACTGATTTATGCTGAATTTAGTCTAAATTAACCCTCGGTGGATAAAATGGCTTCCTGCCAAATACATGTACATGTATGTCATCCAGTTCCAAAATTCAACCTTTCGAGACCACTACAATAGGCGTACCTTTTTGTCATTTTCAAAAGTAACATCACGTTTTCCTATATATGCATTTGCCACAACAAATTTGACTGTTTTGATATGATAATCTGCGTTATTAAGTTATTAAGTTATATTAAATTTATTATACAAGTAGTAAATCTTGGGAACAGTTTCCAGTGTCTCTAGTCAGTCGGTATTACATGAATGCAAGTCCTAGGAATGGAAGTCCGGGCTACCATATGATTAGTACAGTTAAGGTTAGTTGGAGTACTGGGGTTAGTATATGGGATTAATGTCACCTGTACAAAGTAATGGTAAGCGGACTACGGTTCCTAGAGGACATCCATTCCTGTTATACCGGTTTTATCATCATGACAGAGCCTCGTAACAAGCACCCGGTATCACAGTTATTATTAGTGATCCCAGAATACTTGAAACATTTCAGTGGAATGGATGCACAATACGGGTCGTCCGGATATCGGGCTGTTAGCATGACATAACCACACCCAATGTACCACCACCCCCCTAAAGCTGTCCCCACACAACTATTCCCTGCGTTGTTCCTGTCCAACGTCGTGAACGGTTGCCCTACATTGGGTGCGAAACTATCGCCGATGCTCCCGACGAAAGTATTTGGATCCAAGTTCAGCGCGTAGTTTTGGTCTTCGCTTTCGAGATAAAAGTCGTCGTACGTGATGTAGTAGGTGTTGTTGTTGTATGAATCAAGGCGGACTTTCAGTCGGTAGGATTTGCCGTATGTGATCGCATGGACGAGTTCGTTGCCGACCCAGTGGTCCCCTTGGTTAAAACCGAAGCCTGCGCGGTATTCGTCCCAAGTGCGGTCAAAGTTCAGCTCGGGTCCTGTCCGCCTCTGGATGTAAGTCCATCCGAAAGAACACCATACGGTTACAGGGGCGCCGTTAAAACCAGGAGGTGAAATTTTCATTAACCCTAGAATTGAAGGATTCAATTCTCTATAGTAAAATGTCCATGGGTAATTCATTGGGTAAAAAATGAGGATGAAACTTAGAAACTTTGAAAAATGAGATTTTGTTCACTTCAGTTATCCAAAAAATCTACATTCATGTTTTAATTGGTGAAAGAAACTGAAATGCATATTGAGAATCGTTCTTTATTCAGACAGTTGCGCCATTGCCCAGTAAGCAAAGCAATTCAATACTAAGGTCTTACCATTGTACCCCGGTTCATCGCTACAATCGGAAGCAACCTGCAAATTAAAAATGCATATATACTGAAATATTTTTTGCATTTTTATTTTCATTAAGCCCTATTATACGCCTTGTGCGATTCATATTCAAGTTGCAGTCAGACGCGTACTACACTGTCGTGTTTTGAAAAAAACGCGCCATGTATGGTTTGTAGTTCAGTTTAAATGTATGTCAAGGTCCAATTCATGGTTAAACACTGTGCCGTTTTATTTATTTGTTGTTTTTTATTTTTTGGTTGACTTACCTTAGCAAAATACGTATTGTCCGTGTAAATAATATGTCCTTCTATCTCTCTGTACTTGCTATACAGGCTACATGAAACACCAAACTTTGTCGCAGGCCCAACTGCAATAACCTTGCAGCTGGCGTCTTGGTGACACTGCAGTGCGCACGCGCCTTTGGTCTCCACCTCCAGGGTCACCAGTGGACTCAAACTGGACGTCTCGTCAGAATTTAACTTTGTAAATCGACTAAATTTGGAGTCTCCGAGCACGTTTTTAGCCATGACTAGTGTAAGCAAACCTGGAGTGATGAAATAGATTGTATTTCACTTTGGAAAAATGTGGAGTTCAGAAATTAAAAAAAATCTAAAAATGCCTGACCTGATTGCTAGGCACACAGAATGTTAACAAAATGTTGGGTGCTGTGCAAAATTCTTAGCATCAAGTCTAGCGGATGTTAAAATAATCCGGCGTATTATCCAGACCAAAAGTTTCAAAAGTTACGACACGAGCGATACTTACTTTAATTTAAGTGTTTCTGCATTTCTCGTGTAGTATTTTTTTTATTAATGATATAAAGTCAATAATATATATAGTATTGATACATATCCTGTTGGACACACTTGTTTCATTGTGGAGTTGAACCGCTGTACCGGATCCTTTTTTGACTGGCTTTGGTGGCCTAAATGGTGTTAGGAGTCAAACTTCACTCTTATTTAAGAAATATATTTAATCATAAACTCTACCGACTTAAACGCCAAGACTTGATTCATATAAAAGTATGTACAATTATAAACTTACCGCATGTTATTGCAGCAAATCTACTATGCGCCATCGTATAATCGATCCAAGGTACTGCCTCCGTGGTTTGGCTGTGTTCCACTCAGAATGTTTGTTGTCCTCCAGTAGTATTCAGTAATCATTTAAGTATCCGTCCTAATAACTCCATTCAAGTGTCTGTCATAATAATGTCATTCAGGTGTCCGTCATAACGATGTCATAAGCCTGCGAAACAAGAGAAAATCGGAAAGTGATCTTTGTGTCAACAAGAGTGGATTTTCAAGTAGGAACCGGAGCTTTGGGCGTTTCAGAGTGCTCGGATGGATAGGAAGGATTATTGTGTTGCCCTGATAATTGCTAATTAACGAATTGATTATTGTGAGAGGACGCATGTGGCTGAACTTCTGACCTAATAATTAAGATCATTCAAGACCCAAGGCATGGGATTCGAAATAAAAACGTAGTTTCTAAATTTCAAAACAAGGCGGTTGAACTCCCAAGACGAAAGCACGTTGAGTTCACTGATATCTTCTGCAAATTCAACCCCCTTGGCAGAAAGCATTCGTACATCAGAATTCTATAATCGAGGCAGAAGTAATTTCATATTTTCAGAACGTTAAATATTACATCTTGGCAATTTAAGTTTTCAGTTTAGCAACGCCACCCGTTATTCGGTGAAAGTTATACTATTATTGTACCCGTGAAAATGTTTCGTAAGTATAAAAAAGTAATTTCAAACCTTTAAATACAATTAACAGTATCCTGTTTCAATATTTCCTTATACAATGCCAGGAGGACTTTTGCGGTCTAAACCCATCAAAATCCGTTCAACACTGATTTATTCAATTAAAGTGGTCCAAGTGCAAGGGGGGGGGGGGGTCTAGCAAGAAATTCATGAACGAGAGAAAGTTGCCGTTTTTCTTTGTTCTTTGTTCGAAGTAAACGATTTTAACATTGGCGCTAAAATGCCACATGATCCGCAATTAACATTAATCTAACTTTAATTCAAAATGATACTATTTTTTTAGAATGAAGGCCTGTTGGCATCGAGCCAAATTGCTGACAAAATGATCGGTTACAATGCGTGCACAACTTATTTAGTTGAATAGATGAGCTCCCTATGCATTTTGTTGGTAGATGCCATCACATCCGAGTAGCATTGTGGACGTTACAATCGCAAAACTAAAACAAAAATGCACTTGAAAGAGGAAAGTTTTGTCTTGGTTGGTAAAGCACTGGTACGGTTGAAATTCCACATTGAAACAACGCGTGCACCGAGGATTGTTGGAAGCACTACTCATTGCCTTGAAACAAATTACTGCCTTGCATATTAATTATGTAATTGCCAGAAATAAAATGTCTTGAATGATCTCCCCATGTCTGTACCATTAAGGGCATTTTACGGTTGTTATTAAGGGACAGAATGGGCAATGTCAACACTTTTAAGGTGCCCCATGCAAGACTGAACATGGTTATGCAACGTTTTGTTTGTGTCAATTAGTAAGTAAAACAATATTCCACTGTTTATTATTTGTCGACCTGCTTAAAATCATGGCAAAACTTAGTTACAAAATACATACATAATGTTTCAGTTTTCGGTGTTGATTAGACAGGTTTGCAATTATACGCATGGAAGGAAACGTTGAAATGACTTAAATGCGGATATACTCCTTACCTTGACAACGCAACCATTTTTCTTACAATAAACTTTAACAGAAAAAAAAACTTGATGGGGTTAGTTGTACTGAAGTATTCATCTACCCTTTTTACTGTTTGGAATTTTTTTGAACTGCAGGCCAGCAATCTTATAATTACCTCTTTTGCTGACAGGTTTCCTATTTGTACATGCAACACACCTTTAATACACATTTAATTTTTTCATTTGCTAATACCCACGATAAAATAATTTTTGGACATTTTAAACTTTCATCCCCTGTCTTTATGCTGCCCTGATGTTTTCAAAGAAATCAAGTAAGGAAGAAAATTATTAAGAAGCTGATTCTGGAACCTCGTGAAATATATCACCTTTTAAAGCAAAAGTCCGCAAAGTTTTCCTTTTCAGAAAAAAGATGTGCATCGTGACTCCAAAACTGCCATAGAATATCATTTGTGGTAAATTACTCACCTGCTTTGACTGCATTGTCCCGCAACACTGAGTGATGGGGTTGATTTATGTTGATGGTCAGTTCTTGCCAAATCAATGCCAATGCATTGGAGTATGGGAAAACAGGCAAGGAATCGACAAAACCATCTGAAAGATAAACAACAACTTTCCTGCAAACATTATTCAAGGTCATAATCGTGTCATAACTTTTGGGAGTCGATACCTGATTTTGCATTTGACAGAGCATGCTAATGGTCTGAGCTAACCTTCAATTAAAGTCCTGCTAGATCGATTAGCCTGAGATGGTGACACACAAAAGCGTCTGGTTGAACCTACGACTTTGTTTTTATTATTAATCTACTACCATTTGAAAACTAAGGACGTAACACCACAACTCGCAGGTCTTAATGGTGGAATGATGTTGTCACTATGACTGGGTTCCCATACTTAGATCGATCCACCTGGATCCACCTAACTCCCTGGGGGTTCACGCTAAATTGCTATCAGCTCAAGAGGCTTAAATGTCTGTCACGTCTACCGAATCAGCTATGGGTAAAGATAATTAACCCCTAACAGTTTTACTAGGCGTGACAGACGTTTAAGCCAGTTGGTTTGACAGCAATTTAGACCCCATTTCCAGAGATTAGATCGATCTACTTTAGATCGACCTAACTCCCTGGGGGTTCACGCTAAATAGCTGTCAGCCGAGCGGACACGAAAGTTAATTACCCCCTTACAGCTTGTAGTAGGCGGGACGGACATTTAAGCCGGATTATCCGACAGTAATCTAGTGAGACTCCCCGCGGGGATAGATCGATCTAAAAGCTCTGGGAATACAGCCTTAGTGATACTCCCAAGGGAGATAGATCGATCCAAATATCAGTGGGAATGGTCCCTATGGTCCCTGAGTTTCAGTGGACAATGGAAACGGCAGGTTCATGCCACCAGCATAGAGGCGAGTTTCTAATATCAAGAGTCAGTTAGACGCTAATACCGGTACATGTACTGTAGGCCTACACGGGGTGCACTAAACTTAGTGGACGCTATCATTTTGATTGTTTCTCTTGGGCGGAAACTTAATCTTCCTTTGTCACTTTTCTAGAGCATCTGTTTACGCCACACAGTGGGATGGGTTCGGGACTGCTGAATTTCACACGTCATTACTAGACGTAAATCAAAACTAGTTCGGGAACTTTCTAAACACCTTGCACCAGTTCCTTAGAGACAAGAGATATGTTTGTATTGAAAGCTTTACGTCAGCATTCGCTGTATTTACCATCCTTGTGTAGAAGAACTGTCTCCGCGTAACGTGTTTAAATCACTCATTTGTTTTCTAAACGTTGCCTCTGATACATAACGCACCAATTAGGATCAATTAGTTGATAAAACGGTCTTGTTGGCTTCCCCTCATTACCCTTGCAACTTCAGTATAACGAGGCAACGAGCACCACTACATATTTAAATATGTTAAAGGCTATGTATTCTGAATGTCTTCGAATATGTACAGTGCTAATTCTCTGACTTGAAGAGGTGCACGTCTGCATTTTTGTATGGGGCTGCGATAGCAGCACTTGTCCCAGGCAATAATTGTGATCTTGACCAACTTCTCTATCACAATGCTGATATCCCCCACCTAGCGCAATTACGTAACCAATCAAGTGGCCACTTGGACCTCAAGTGGCACGTGTCATTTGATCGTCCAATATTTACACACGTAGAGAGGCTCTCTAGGGTCGCAACATGTGGTAGGCTAAATGTTATCATATGCGAAAAACACAATTCAGTGAAATCGTGACAAATTAATGAACGCCTTACAAATATTTCTGTGCAAGCCCAACCCATCTCGACTTATTGCCTGTTTTTCATCTGTTGTTGAATATTTGCTCCTTATAGGCGTTTTTCATTTATTTTATCATTTTGTTCAAATTTTCAAATACATGTCAGGTTCTTTATAGGGGAATAATTTCACGGTAATAAAGAAAAACAATTTTGTGGGGTGGGGGGGGGACGATTTATAGGGGCCTAGGCCTACTAGTACATCAATGAATTGTCAATATAGTGGTTTTAAAAATCCAAAATAAACGAATAAATTCATTTCAATTTTATAATAAGAGTAATGATAATAATAATATTAATTTACTGAAAAGTCATTGTAGAATTGCAACGAAAATATACCAGCGCACATCTTGTATTTTATTTTTCAAAGATAGGCCTACTAGGCTTAACGAACAGCCTAATATTCCCAATATCTGGCGGATCATATTAGGTAATTTTCGCTTATATCTTAAACAACCATATCGTTCTGTGTGTTTGTGCTTGTTATGGCAATACCTTGAGTATGGGTCAACACCTATTGATAAGAGCTCACCTACATTGTGCCTTTTGTAAGATTGTATTGACTGAAATGGAAAGGCCACAAAACGTTTACCTTCTGCTTAGCGACTTGCCACGTGACCGGTGAAAAAATTGATAGCGCGCATGCGCGGCTTGGAGTCACCTTGGAAACAGTTGAAAGGTAGTGCGCTGGGACCCAAATCACGTTGTTCGGCAAATTTAGCAGAAAGTCTGCAAGGTTATACCATAATTATACCTTTCAATCAGTCAAACACATATTAAGACGCAAACTAGGGCTCAAAATGGGATGTGGAGGCTCAAAAGCGGCGGAAACTTCGCCAAGTAAGTGCCACCATAATTGCACTGCTTCCTCAGCTTTGTACTTTGTCTGCAGCGAGTAAAGCTGGCAGGATTATCTGACGATGCAGCTTGCAGCAGGAATAGAGCTGCACTTCCTGTTTTCGTATTAGCGTTGTACTTTTAATACTAAATATTAGAAACCCCTAGACTTGATATTAATTATGGTGTGTATGCACGCAATTTTTAACTAGCTAGATCTTGCAGGCTATCAGTAATAGCTAGTCGGTAGTGCTCGCTATACTGTAGTCTGTTGCTCATTAATTATACTAACTTGCATGCTTGTGCCCCAGATAATAACCAGCGGCCTGGTCAAAAACCTCAGGGAAAAGGTCATGCAAGTGAGTTTTATGAAGACATACCAGTGCATTTTATGGAGCCTTTTGTGTTTCGTTCTTGTTGCACTTTCTTCTATAAAAATGTGTGGACTCACCCTTTGAGACTACTGTACGGACGATGCAGCAGAGAGAGCAACCTCAAAATACAGGATTCCGATTTCTTCATTTAAACTTTGCCATTGCCTTTTTACAAGACAAATATGTGCCTTTTTTATCATTTGATTTTCTAGTGCATTCTAGAGTATATTAACTCTTTTTCTGAAACTCATCATTTTTAGCTTCAAAGAACTTTGGTGTTCTTTGTATTGTGCAGGAAAAAATACTTGCATAAGTGCCAGTTCACTTGATTGTTTTCTAGCTCTTTGTTTGTTAATTTTTTGTGCTTCTGAAAAGCTTGCAATGATTCCTTGGACATTGTGGGTTATGCTGTAATTAGACTTCTACATATTTCTCTTGGTATGCCATTATCTTAACATTTTTTTTTCACTCCAATTGAAAATAATTTCTAATAAGCTTGATAATTATCATTAGATCTAGTTTTTATGCTCATAATTTAGCTTGTATCATTTTAATTTGTAAAAAGCAGTGAGTTTAAATCATATAAGCACCTTATCTGGGAGCTAGGACTTATTGTGCATGCAGTATTATATGCCGGGAGAGTTTCCCCTCTGAATGACTGTACAGAAAAGTTTATTTCTTTTATATGACCAATACGATAGTTATTTAGTACTATTAAGTGGTATCAAGTTATTAATATATACACTTTAATTCTTTTTTCAGATCAGAGGAAGGGAGGGTAAGTACCTTTCAAAATTTTATCTACTTAGTTATTAATTTATTATTATTATTATTATTATTTTTTTTTTTTGTAGCATTTATAATGAATCATGTTTAAAGATACTTGATACATTATGGATATGAAATTGTGTGTTGGAAGGATTCAAATGGACCTGGTGAAATATATATGTAGGTTGCAATGAGAAAAAGATGGACCATTGGATCAATAGTCAATATCAGCATATTTTGTTTTTTGATGAGGTGGTAGGTGATATGGTTTGTCAATTTACAAACATACATATGAAGACCCACAAAAACACACACACACACACACGCATGCACACATTCATGTGCGTGCGCACACACACACACACACACACACACACACACTGTGACTATCTAACCCAAGTTTAAGTGAAGTACCTGTTGATATATTTGTGATGCATTTTACAGGAGACAAAAACTATCAATCAGATAAAGAACATATACTTCAGTACTTCTCGTATGTATGTGTACAACAATTAAGTGTGTACTTAAACACTTGGTATGTTGCTTCCATGTCACTGTTAGGTGCTAGATTTACAACGTCTGGATCAATTTTCACTTAGCTTTAAGCCAGATTAAGAATGGAAAGGATTAATCTAATAAGACCATCTGGTAAAGCAAGAAAAGAAGAGGACACTCCGACAAGATACAAAGGCTGTCCAAAATGCGGTCGATAATGCTGCCATTTACTTGTTTGTACTTGGTATCTATCTGATAATTGATTGATTTTTGAGGGAGGCATATACTGTTACACTATGTTCCCTGCAGCATGGAGAATTGTCAATAGAGATCTAGGAATAAGGACCTCAGAGCTTTTTTCTCCTTAATTTAGTATTGCTCACTGACCTGGTCTGAGTTTTGGGATATATTTTTAAAAAATTTAGTTTTAAAAATATTATCTCACAAAGTTAGTGATCTTTATATGAAAGGCGGCTTTATTTTTATACCAGGATTATTTTCTGAGCTAGTTTTTTTTTCAAAAATGTTCAATTTCTGTAATTTTGTGTCCACACACACACACACACACACACACACACATGAAGACATACGCCTGCACACATCTACACCTTGTTTAAGTCTCATTTTCACAAAGAATTCTGATTTATTGTAATTGTAATCATATACTAAGAAATGTGCCCAAGAGTTGATGCTTGAGCACTCCTCAAATACCCTGCCTCTATGAATGGATGCAAATTTACAAAAGCAGCATTTAAATTTTACAAATGCAGCATAATTGTGTAGAATAACACAGCACTGGGTGAACAAAACGTGCCTCAACTACAGCACAATTGGTATTACGCCTAAAGCAAATATTTTATTGAAAGCCGTGTTGTAATCTACGATAAGGCTGTGACTCAGACTCAGACTTCCCAGGTACGTTTTAATTTATATGCATGTCACACTTGCAGTCTGTGACATTAACTTTTCGGCGTTCAGGCCATGTGGACCAGTCCAAACCAGCATTCACTGGTCTGAATAAAAATGTCAATAAGACTATTGCATTAATATTGGAAATAATAAGACCTTGATTTTGGTCAAACATTGTTACATTTCAGAAAAAATTAAATCAAATTGAAAAGTCTTTTGAAAAATTTAGATCAAATAAAATTTAATGGCCATGTTGGACCATTTAATTCACTCATTCTGAAAAAAAAAACTAATGGTCAAAACAACATTTTCCTAGCAGCAGGCAAAGAACCAGTGGATAACATCACAGACTGCATTTGCCAAGGTTGTCAAAACTGGGTCAGTTTGCTTCAATAAACAAACAAACAAAAAAAGTATCAAGTCAAATGAATGATACATTTATTGTGATCAATGTACTATATTTGACCTGTTTTATTGGCAACAACAAAAGCATTTGTCACTCCTTTCAGTATTAATATTGTTTAATCATGCTTATCAATGATATTTTAACAATACATTAACTTATAATTATTATTATTATTATTATTACAATATATTTTCGACCCACCTCATCTTATTGTAATTATTTTTTATGCCATGGAGCCACTGTTTGCTCTACTATACCTAGTGAGTCTACTTCACATGTTTGTCACTTATATTTATACCTCAGGGATAGGAAACACGGAAAAACATGTGTAAATGAAGTCATAAAATTCACTTTTAGTGTTTCCACATTGTTATAGGGGATGATTAATTTGTCAGTTGTGACAAACATGCATGGACTTAAGGCAACTATGTTAAAATCACTTCATTTTTGGTTCAATTTCCATATGTTTTCCATCTATTAGGCTGTGAGTGGAAAAATGGAGTTTTGATAAGCATATAGGGGTAGTTATGACAGGTGGTTACAAAAATGAACTTTATCCAATTAAAAAAAAAGTGAATGGAAGATACAAACACACAGAAAAAATTGACACTTGTATAATTCTAAAGTGTTTTTTATTTTTGTCTTTTGTTTGTCTTTTTTTTGTTTGTTTATTAATATTGTTTTTTTATGATCATTACAGTGACACCAAGCAGGGAGGAGCTAGAGTGTAGGTAGAGGTGGGGATGGACCCCCCCACCAAGACATCATATTTCCCATTTAGAAAATAACCTAGATTACATAATCCTAGTACATTTACCCTAGACACAGAATAACATAATTTATATTTCTTTTTTTCTGTAGCTCAGAGAATTAACCCCAGTAGATATTGTATCTACTTCTTGTGGTTATTATATTAGCTGGTAACTTAAAACCTTGTAGATGAATGCCATTATTAGATATAGGATGAACCCTTTTCTGGAGATGAGTGGACTTTTGGGATGACAACATTATATTGTGTTTAGAATTGAAAAGAAATGATAATATTAAATCATAAAAATAACCCCTCTCCTCATACCTCTTAGTTAGAGGTATTAACATTCTACATTATAGCTATAATCTGTATTAACTGTCTTTATGATTTGTGAGCTCTCGTTTATTTGCTTAATTTACTTTTTGCCCATAACCCCTCTGACAGTCTGATATTGAAATGGGTGTGTCTGTCGATTAACGTTTCACTGCCCTATAATACAATAGAGCTTTGTCACTTTAAGTTGCGTGGAATTGTTCTAATATTTACCCCAGTGTGCTGTAACCTCCAAGTTCCATTAACAGAGGTCATGCTAGCATTTTTTTGTACTGGCTGTATGGCTCTTTTTTTAATCACCATATCAATGGAAATTAGTTTATAACTTTTTAAACATACATTGTTTTTTGCTATTCTGGAACCCATAGTATAATATTACTGAAGATCAATGAGGTAAAGGTTTTTTTTTTTTTAATTTAGTGGTAAAACGAAAAAAATTCAAAGCCATTCTCAAATATTCCTCAGCATTCAGTAGAAGAATAATGCTTGACTAATATCTTAGCTAGCATGAGCCTTGGCATGGGTGCATATATGCGTGCGGCTTGAGTATGTTTCACAGCTTGTGATGGACGTTAGACACACTTGAACATCGCACTTGGTTTCATTTCGGAGACACAAGGGAGACTACTAATGTAATATTTATTGATTGCTGCCTTGCCTAATGTGCTTTTCATTCTGTCCAAATTTGGCAATTTGTTATCTGTGATGGCGTAGTGTGGATGTAGTATGGATCACAATTGCAAGGAATTCTAATGGACACCCCAAACTGTGGACGGAATCCAAAATTTTATCCTTCCGTGCCTCTTACAGAAATATATTTATTCTTTCTTTCTTTTGAAAAGGTGATTAATCCTTTGGGGACTTCTTTCTTTTAATATATTAATTCTTCCCTCCTTTTTAAAAGTTGATTTAATAATAATAATAGTCTTTTTAGAGCTTGCTGTTTAAAAGTCATTGTGGCACCAAGATATTCCATTTGACAATAGATCACTGACACTTATTAGCCGCATTGGTTGTGCACATTTTTTTCATAATTATTTAAAAAATTACTTTAAATGATTATTTTATTCATTGACAAGTATTGTTTAATACACAACTTGCTTAGCATTTGTTTTTGCGTATCATTTTTCATCTCAGATTATTCATATGCATTTGTCAATTTGCTTTCACTGCTTATTGAGTAATTTTACCAAAGCTTATTTGAGTACTTATCAGTATGTTCATTTATAATTCTTCAACTTTATTTTAATTCATTCAAAGTTTCAGTTGCATTAATTATTAACTGCTACAGAAGTTGAGTTTGAATTTTCAATTTCATGGCAGTCCTGTTAGATTTTAAGACTTACAAAAATCAGACCCACATTTAAAACAGTATCCTTTTGGTTGCTTTTTTCCAGTGGGCCAGCTGCCAATAAGGAGTATGTATAAACCCTGTGTAATTTAATCCCTTAAGAGATTAGATTAGAAAAGACATTCTGAATAGTTGTTCACAAGTTCTGGTTTTCTATCTACACCCTCTTTAGTTTGATAGAAAAAAAACAGGTTTTCCCTCCTTGCACTACACCTAGATGACATTTCAACCTGATGTAAAGGAAAGCAATGATATCCCACTAATTTGTCAAGGAACTTTAAGAGCAGTGGTAGATTAAAAAATACCGTAGTGGTAATGTAATAGAGATAAGATAATATTAGATAGTCTGGTAGTTAGATAGTGGTTAGAAAAAACTTAGTTATCAGGTATCGAAAGTTATTAACTGTGACATTCGTCAGGTATTTGATAGTACCTCCATTTGAAGCAGATGCACTTACATAATGTATGGATAGTCTTAGATAATTGTATGTAGCTAGAATTGCTGCACCATTGATTATTTATTCAAGATTTGATACAACAACAGCAGAACAAAATATTCAAATTTAATAGTAATTTAATAGTAATTTAATAGTAAAGAAATTGATCAAATATTAATATCTGAAAATCCTTATCTACCAAAAGTGAAATTTTGAGAATTATATGAGTTAATCAGTATATTTGCTATCAAATGCTATCACTTTCAACAACTGTTGTTTTCTCAGTCACATCTTGACAAACCAGACAATCTTAGTTTGCAAAGAGATAAAAATAATGCCACATCCCTCATTTAGATACTCTTAGGTTATTTCTGCCCAGTGAGATTCCCATATTGAATCAATAGATTTCACAGCTAGTCTGCATTGTGTCCCTGTGTAAATTGATCAGCCTAACATCCCTATCTATTTTCCACTAGTACACTCCATAATTTACTTTTAAGATCCCAGGGTAGTACAATCATAAAACACTGAACAGAATATATAGATATAGCTATAGCAGCTCACAACTGATCTCTTGATAGCATATGTAAGTGTGTGGTTATTTTCGAAACGGCAGCGTATATTAAGGCAAACTTTTGTAGTCCAGATGACAAACAGGAACTTTATCATTAAAAACCTGTTTAGTGGGGTGTCATCAGAACTATTACCTCATTTTTATCATCTTTTTAAGTCTTCTAGAACTGTCATAATGGTGCTGTAGGAATTTTTTCATCTTTGTTTTAGAGTTCTATTACTGTTTTTGAATGTGAGGCAATGCACAGCTTAATAGGTTTACCCACTCCCCTGTAGTTGTGTAGCTTTTGGTAGATGTGTAAGAGCAATTTTATTATAACTGACTCTGGTAAATAGCTATACATGTATGAATTTTTAGACATAATTTGTATAAACTTTGAAGTAAACTTACAGGTAATGAAAATAGAATTATACAAATGGATAAGTTGAAAAATTAAATACCCAGTGTAGCTGTGTAGCTGTTTTATTTATTTATTTTTATTTTTCATTTCATTATTATTTTATTTTGTTGTTTATATTTTTTACAAGTGATAAAGCATGCCCAGATAATGAACCAGTCAGGTAATAAATATAAGGAAACTCTAGTTAGAGCTAACTAAGGCAGGAGAGTATTTAGAAAGGTCACACCCTGTACTTGAAGCTGTATATATAGCAGTTTCTTTTGCTGTGGATTGAGTCTTGGTCTTCTCAGATCCTGGATTGTTTTGTTCTTAAATTCTTGGGATTTGTACCTCATTCTGTCATTTCCCATTTAGTAAGGTCATATCCCACTTTTTGTCCTTCATTTATTTTCTGCTATATCTCAGTCATCATTGTCCCACTTAAATCTGTTTAGTCCCACAATTTTCAGTCATTTTTTACAACGCTCCACCATATCCCATTTGTATTTGCTGTGTACTATTAAATTGTTTTGCCCCATCCCACTTTAATATGTTATGTCTCACTTTATTCTGCCATTTCTCACTTTGTGTCATCATATCCCACTTAAATCTGTTGTCCCACCCATCTCCCACTTTAATCTGTTGTCCCACTCATCTCCCACTTTGATCTGCTGTATCCCACTTTGATATGATAGTAAATATCCCATTTTTATTGATTTTTGACATTTCAGACATCTTCCCATTTCATATTTCTATTCTTCACTGCAAATTCATATTTTCATTAACTTAAATAACAATATGTACAATGAAGAAAAGATAGCTTATTATCTTTTTTTTTTTTCGAAAAGATTAACAAAATACCATGTGACAGTGACATACAAGTACACTGGCAGTTCAAGCAACTTTTCACCACAGAAGTTAACACGAGAACAGAATTTATATATAATTTATTTAGACTGCCTTGATAAGAAATCCACATAGCAGTGTTCCATAGCAAAATCCTCCCAGCTAATATTGATCAATGCCAACAATGCGAAAAGCTTGCCGTATGAAATGACGATGCATTTCCTTGGTTGAATTGTAAGCTGTGGTGAGATCAATGCAGAGTCAATACTTATTAAAATGGTCCCCAAATGTCACTGCAAGATGTGCTCTGTTCTTCCACAAAGCAGCACATAGACGCCTTTGTCTCAGTTTGTCGGGACGGGACGAGATATACAGGAAATGTAAAAGAGCATGGTGTTTTATTTTTAACACCATTTATTGAATTTTGAATGCTATTAGAGAATAAGAGGCCTAGTAGGTTTTATGTCACATATTTAATTGATGAGAAGTGGGCTTCCTCCACTGGAATGTTGGATTGAAGAGAGGAAAATGAGGGTTTTAAGTTGTAATATTGAATTTGTCTGTCTTCCAAATTACCGTAAATAATAACATGCAGAAATAAGGTTCACTAGAGGGTTTTTTTTTCTTTCTTGATTTGATGAGGTTATTTATTCAGATAAGACTTTAAAGGCCAAATCAACAGAAATTTAGCTGAAGAGAAATTGGAATTTAAGACATGCCATTTTCTTTGGTGTAGATAATAGCATGGTTGTTGCTCACTGGAGCTCATTTGGTGATAATCTGAGCACAGAGTCCCTGAATTAGGTTTGACGAGGATATATTTTTTTAAAAGGAATTCCTATGATTTCTGAAGATCAGAAGATTTCAGAAGGGTGTGCGTGTGCGTGTGTGTGTGTGTGTGTGTGTGGGGTAACTAGTAGGTTCAAAATTGTCAGTCTTCAAACTTCGATGAAGTGGAATTGTATATTAAAAAAATAGTTGAAGCATTTATTGTTTTTTATAATGGAGGCTAGTTATAGTCATTTTAGTATGAGCTTGGAGCTTGGTGTTACAAGGGGTCATGTCAGGATACATGTTAGGAGAGTTAGATAATATGTCAGTATCATAATATGTAAGCCCTTGTTTTGGCATTGTTTTCTGAATTTTTGGTGTTCAATAAAACTATGGAAACTACTATTCTTCCTAATAATAATAATAATCAGTTTTTAGTGGTTAATTTTTTATCTAAATTGTTATTATGAATCAAATTTACTATTAAATCAACTGGTAGTTTTTTACCCTTCATGTAAAAATAAATTGAGCATCTTTTTTTCTTTTTTACCCCATCAAAAGGCAAATCGATATGCATGAGGTATCAAAGGTTCCGAAGCAAGTACGAAGTACAAAACATTTTTTTTCTAAAAATTTACCCAGCAACTTTTAACAAGCTGAATTAAATATTTACTCCAGCTGTATCAAACATTGGTAATTATGTGGAGCAACCTTGCATAGGTCCATAGCGTTGTTTGTAAACATTGACTTAACAACAAAGACAGGGTATTGATTTATCATTTTTCATGGGGCTGATTACAGTTTGGGTTTGTCCTGTTGGTATGGCGCTGAATGCGGTGACGGGCAATGTTGTATGTTATCTCATTGGCTGACTATGAGATAAGCTTACATACAGGTGGGCTAGAGAAGTAAACCAAAACGCACCTGTCAAATTTTGTCACACGCAGACTGTGATGTATCCCTACAGACAAGGTGTCAAATTAAAAGACATTAAACAAAGTAGCACTGGTATGTGATATTGAATTACTGTTAATATGCTCCCCAGAGAGTTTTGAATAAAGAAGATAATGAATGGTTTACAAAACTTACTTCCATTATAAAAACTCATGCATAACAATTAACACCATAATAGACATAAAGTTATATAAGGTACTTGGTAAATCATTTTTAAAAAGACTAATCATGTTTTACGAGGGAGGCATGGCATTTTGATCCAAGAGTCATCAAAGATATATTAGTAGTGAATTAATTTCAAGTAGAAGCATATGAGTTTAAATAAAAGTTCTGTTAGGTAGTTAATGCACAGCAACTACTGACTTCAAACAATATATTATACTAGCAAATGACATCTTAAAGATTGATTATAGTAAAGTCAAAGTTTAACAACCCCTCAAACATTTTGATATGATATGCCATATTTGGGAATGCGTAAAATTTTGTTAATTTAGTTTATTGTTACACAGAATTCATAGCAGAGGGTGGGAAAATGTCACTTGTGCTTTATAAGTTAATGTCACTTTAGCTTGGCAAGGCAAAAAGGTATGATTCATCAAATAATTCATTTTTATGTGTAAGTTTACAGCCAACCAAACTGTAAATGAGTTATGAAGTAGTGAAATGGAGTGAGTAAATGTTAAACATTTTACACTTTAAAGTAACTATTATTAAAATAATAGGACGTACATAAATATAAAAGGGACCTGATGGATTATGACTTTGTAAAATAAGTACTAGTATTATTTTTTCTTTAAATTTTTGTTATGTTGAAATATGCAAGCTAATTTTAAAATGTGGCAAACATTTTATAAGCTAACATGATAAGCCTGAAATGTGGTGGGCATTTATTTATTTATTTATTTATTTATTTATTTATTTATTTATTTTACTTTTATTTATTTATGTATCTCAGGAATATTTTGTAACATTCTACTGATGTGACCATGTAAATTAGGTCAGTCGTGAAAGCTACGGATATGTTAGTTGAGATAGCCATTGAAAGTCTGGGTTGTGACATTGTCTTCATATTCTCTTGTTGTGCAATGTTAGGTACTTAAGGAAATGCAGTTGTATTAGCTTAACATTTCATGATTTGTGGTCCTGTTACTATCCTTACTTCTTACTCCTTTTTGTATAGTCTCCCACCAGTGTGTTTATAAGAACCATTATCTTTTAAAATATATTTTTATGAACACAGGCATGTTTAAATTTCTAAATCTGGAAAGATTCAGATTACTTACCTGTCAAAATGTCAAGTTATACCTGAAATGATATTTTGATTCTAAGATAACCTCACTCCTCTTTTTTCAGGAGATTTGACTCCCAGATAAATTTTAAAACAATATTTAAGTATTTGTAGAGGTGATCATATACTGCAAACATTAAGATTTTTTTTTTTACTTTTTTTTATTTATATATTTATTTATTTGTAAAACAGGACCTATATTTGGATGACACATTTAAAACTTTAAAACATAAACCAATTCTTTTGAATTCTAGAAAAGTGGACCCCAGCACCTTGCCTAACTACCCAGAACTCAGCAAGCATAACAATTGGATGGCAAAATGTCTCACACCAGAGACCTTTGCTGCTCTTCAGGACCTCAAAACACCTGCTGGTTACACCCTGGACGAGGTCATCCAGACTGGAGTGGACAACCCTGGACATCCTTTTATCTATACAGTGGGTCAGTGAAGCTCTCTCTCTCTCTCTCTCTCTCTCTCTCTCTCTCTCTCTCTCTGCAAGCATCATTTACTTACATTTATATAAATTTTATAGATAATAAATGTGGATTTTTATATGTTTTATATAATTTATATGTATATAATATGACCACAGGTTGTGTGGCTGGTGATGAGGAGTCTTATGACACCTTTGCGGAGCTGTTTGACCCAGTTATTGAAGGGCGTCATGGTGGCTACAAGAAGAGCGCCAAGCACAAGACTGACTTAGATGCATCCAAAATCATTGGAGGTGAGTGGAAGATTAGTAGTGTATAGTACCTCTTTGTTTGGGTATTTTTAAAGCAGTTTCAAAGAATGGTATATTGAAAATTTGGTCTATAGTATCGGTGGTTTTCATTGTTATGAAACTGTTTTGATATTTTACATTTCATAGAAGATAAAATTTAGACCAACTTTAAATACTCATCTGTTTTTCTAACCTAGGGGAAAACTTGGACCCAACCTACGTGTTCTCTGTTCGCGTGCGTACTGGACGTAGTGTGCGTGGCTACTCCTTGCCTCCATTCTGTACACGTGCAGAGAGACGTGACGTGGAGAAGATTCTGTGTGATGCCTTAGACACACTAGAGGGCCCTCTCAAAGGTACATGTCTTTTTTTTTTTCAAAATTTATTTTTCTTATCTCTGATACCATTGTATCCTATTTTTGACCTGGAAATATATACTATTGACTGTCACAGTTATCTTTGGTATTAAATGATGAAACTTTACATTAACCTTGTTAAAAAGTGGAATGTGTGATGTTGTTAGTTTTATCAATGGATTTGTCATTTTATTTATTTATTTATTTATTTATTTATTTATTTATTTATTTATTTATTTATTTATTTATTCAACCACCATTCCACAAAGGTGAATTAATTTCAGTATGCTATTGTCCAATTATATTATTCACTATTTTGATAAGACATCATATAAATTATTTACAAAAGAAACACAGAAATATAACATTTTTAGAAATTAATTGCTTGATAAAACTTTACTTTTTTCCTTTCCCCAGGGACATACTACCCCTTGACTGGCATGTCAGAGGAAACCCAAGAACAGTTGATCAACGACCATTTCCTGTTCGACAAGCCAGTCTCTCCTCTCCTCCTGTCCTCTGGAATGGGACGTGATTGGCCTGACGCTCGCGGCATCTGGCACAACGAGGCCAAGAACTTCTTGGTCTGGGTGAACGAGGAGGACCACTGTCGTGTGATCTCCATGGAGAAGGGAGGCAACATGAAGGCAGTGTTTGAACGCTTCTGTGATGGACTGAAGAAGGTATTTTTTTTCTTCAAATACTATACTTCAAATACTCTGTTTCATAGCATTTTCTATACTTCATATCTCCCTGTGAGCTTAAACAGTTCTATAATTCTAACCTTCCTGTATTCAAACTAAAGGTTAAAAGTACCATGGACAAGAAAAACTTTCAGATCATGTGAAATTTCTAACATTTCATTTCTGTAACGTATCTCCATCCTAAAAAGGTTAATTTGAAAGAACATCAAAATTAATAGTAGTGGCATATCGCAGTCTGTATTTAACCAATCATTCACATCATCTCTCCACAGGTTGAAAGCGCCATGGAGAAGCAAAACTACCAGTTTATGTGGAACGAGCATCTTGGCTTCGTGCTCACCTGCCCCTCCAACCTGGGCACGGGACTGCGTGCGGGTGTGCATGCAAAACTGGAGTTACTCAGCAAGGACGCAAGGTACGTGGGTGTGTGCTACAACATGGGATTATTTATATAGTAAAAACTTTGTTAATTTTTTCTGGGCTTTAAATGGTTGTCAATTAGTTATATTTAAATGATATGACTGTGTCAAGTTCATATAATTGAAGCATTTGCTTATTAAGTATGTTATTGTTTCCTTTTTAAAGATTTAACAAGAGAAATGTGCTCATCGTTGTTGAGGCTTGAGTCTAATTTTTTTTAGATTAATAATATATAATAGCATAATAATAGATAGTGGTCATCTTTTCAAAATTGTCCTCTTGAATTTGTAATTTTTGTTATTAAATAATTCTGAATATTTGTGGTTAAAGAATGTCATTTAGAAATGTCATTGATTTAAATATCTGTTCCTTAGGGAAACATGAAACAATATCTCCTCATAAATGAATTAAAAGTTGTATTATCATTGACCATCAGGTTTGACGACATCTTGAAAACCCTGCGCCTTCAGAAACGCGGGACCGGTGGTGTGGACACCGCAGCTCAGGGAGGCGTCTTTGACATCTCCAACCTCGATCGCCTGGGCAAGTCCGAAGTGGAGCTCGTCCAGATGGTCATCAATGGCGTCGACCTCCTGGTGCAGATGGAGAAGTGTCTACAGGCTGGCAACAGCATTGACGAGCTGATTCCTCTTGGTTGCTACAGACCCGAAGGAAACTTCCCCGATTTGTCTTGTCATAACAACTGGATGGCGCGCTGTCTCACCCCCGCCATCTTTGAAAGTTTGAAGGACAAGAAGACGGCCACTGGTTTCACTCTTGACCAGGCCATCCAGACTGGAGTGGACAACCCTGGACATCCTTTTATCTATACAGTGGGTAAGTAATGGTGTTTGGTTTATAAGCTATGGGGTCTTAATATTAAAAGGATGTCTTCCGTCATATAGTAATTGTGGCACTAGTTATATATTTTAAGTGAAATTATCATTGAATTGATTTAATTTATTTTAATTATCATCAAAATATTATATGTCCTTTGCATTATTGAAAATGTTAACAGCAATACGTTCACCTTGTTTCAGGTTGTGTGGCTGGTGACGAGGAGACGTACGAAACCTTCGCTGAACTCTTCGACCCTGTCATTGAAAAGCGTCACAACGGCTACACCAAGGACATGAAGCACAAGACCGATCTCAACCCCTTCAACTTGGAGGGCGGACATGACCTGGATGAAAAATACGTCCTGTCTTGTCGCGTACGCACTGGCCGTTCCATCAAGGGCTACTGCCTCCCTCCTCACTGTTGTAGATCTGAGCGTCGTGCTGTCGAGAAGTTGTTAAAGGATGCTTTGGATTCAATGGAAGGCGAGTTTAAGGGCCAGTACTACCCCCTGAATAACATGACAGAGGCACAACAACAGCAGCTGATTGATGACCACTTCCTGTTCGACAAACCTGTCTCTCCTCTCCTTCTGTCCTCCGGAATGGGCCGTGACTGGCCTGACGGTCGTGGCATCTGGCACAACGAGCTGAAGAACTTCTTGGTCTGGGTGAACGAGGAAGACCACATGCGCATTATCTCGATGGAGAAGGGAGGCAACATGAAGAGGGTCTTCACCAGGTTCTGCGAGGGTCTGAATAAGACGGAGGAGCTGATCAAGGGGAAGGATAAGGGATTCATGTGGAATGAGCACCTGGGCTACATCCTCACCTGCCCAAGCAATCTGGGCACTGGGCTCCGCGCTGGTGTACACATACGCTTGACCAAGCTGTCCACCCACGAGAGGTTCCCACACATCCTGGAGGCCCTGCGTCTGCAGAAGCGTGGTACAGGAGGCGTGGACACAGCAGCCACTGGAGGTATCTTTGATGTCTCTAACCTGGACAGGCTCGGCTTCTCTGAGGTGGAACTGGTACAGAAGGTGAGCTCAACTCTGCTCTTTGTGATTTATTTATTATTTATTAATTAATTAATTATTATTGTTATTTTTTAATTTTTTATTTTATTATTTTGTTTTGGTGAATGGTATGATAGAATTGCCGATATGGTAATTTGTCAACAGTACACATCCCCATAGGCAATGAAGGAGGGGGGGGGGTATTTTGCCTAAAAGAGGTCCATTGTGAATTAAATTTTGATCCAAGATCTATGCCATATCTCAAGTTAGGTCAACAAAAGGGTTAAAAAGGTACCTTTTTCTGAAAAAGGAAGTGGATGTATGGCTACAGGCCTGGTACAGGTGCATATGTGCACAGAAATCACATTTTAACACCAACCTTTTACCAAAACTGCATTGCATTACAATTCACCTACAGTTCAGCAAGATGAAACTTTCTCTCAGTGTTCATCTGTTAAACCATCAATCTCTCCTCTCTCCAGGTGGTGAGCGGTGTTCAGCTGCTGATTGAGATGGAGAAAAAGCTGGAGAAGGGCCAGGCCATTGACGACCTGTTCCCAGCAGGCATGCCAGAGGTGAAGAAAGAGGAGGCCAAGTCCCAGAAACCCTACAGAGCCACAGTGTTCTCTTCCAACTTCCCAGACCTGTCCAAGCACAACAACTGGATGGCTAAGTGTATCCACAAGGAGATGTATGACAGGTGAGTTACATGCTTGTGTGTTTGCGTGCATGCTTATGTGTGTGCTTGAGTGCATTCTAAGTGTATCCACAAGGAGATGTATGATAGGTGAGTTACATGCTTGGGTGTGTGCTTGCATGCTAAGCGTATGAACGTGCAGGAGAAGATGTATAAAAGGTTTGTTCTGGGGGAGTGCATGACAATTTGCGGTTAACATTAATGAAAAATAAATAAATGAAAATAATTGTCGTACAATATGCATAAATGCTGTAAATTAAAAGAAAAGTCTTGGACATTTCTTAAGTTTTTTTTTTTTAATAGTGACATGAGTCTAAGGCGTTCTATTATTATTTGGTAGTTAATGGACATGTGAAAATAAAGGCCTCTTTCAAATCGTGTTTCAGACTGAGCAAGTTGAAGACCAAGATGGGGGTCACTCTGGACAAGAACATCCAGACAGGAGTGGACAACCCTGGTCACCCCTTTATCTACACAGTGGGGGCAGTCGCCGGGGATGAGGAAAGCTACCAGCTTTTCGCCGAGTTGTTTGATCCAATCATTGAGAACAGACACAACGGTTATACAAAGGCGATGAAACACAAGACTGATCTCGACTCTTCTAAACTTACTGGCGGTGACTTCGATCCTGAGTACGTGCTCTCTTCCCGTGTGCGCACTGGGCGTAGTATCCGTGGGTTCCGCCTGCCACCATGCACAAACCGTGCTGAGCGCCGTGCAGTGGAGAAGATTGTTACCACTGCTCTGGGCACCTTTGATGGGCCATATCAGGGTACGTTGTGACATGTATAATGTGAAGTGTGTGAGATTTGAATGTGCTAAATAAATTCAATTTCAAGTTGTATACATTTTCCAAAATTTTCAAAGAAAGGGATGAAAAAAAAACTGGTTAAAAAAGGTAGATCCTTTCTAAAAAGACCTGTTTTCAAGAGAAAAGTATGAAGCATTGCCTTTTTGTGAAAAAAAGTTACTTTAAGTCATTTTATTAAAATGGGTTCTATCCTTTATTTTAATCATAAAAAATCTGTTTAGTCTATTTTTTATTAAAAAAAAAAATCACATGTACTCTCTTAAGATTTACTGCTGGTTTAATGATCATTTTCTCTCTCTTCTGAAGTATAACTTGCCACTTGTTTCCTTACAGGCAAATATTACCCCCTGGCTGGCATGACTGAAGAGGAACAGGAGCAACTCATCAATGATCACTTCCTCTTCGACAAACCAGTCTCTCCTCTCCTCCTGTCTTCAGGAATGGCACGCGACTGGCCAGACGCTCGTGGCATTTGGCACAATGATGCCAAGAACTTCTTGGTCTGGGTGAATGAAGAAGACCACATGCGCATTATCTCAATGGAGAAGGGAGGCAACATCAAGGCTGTATTTGACCGTTTCTGTGAGGGTCTGCAGAAGTTCGAGGCCGCCATGAAGAAGCAGAAGCACAGTTTCATGTGGAACGAGCACCTCGGGTTCGTGCTCACCTGCCCCAGCAATCTCGGCACAGGCATTCGTGCGGGCGTGCACGTCAAGCTCCCCAAGATGGCTGAAGAGCCTCGTTTTGGCGACATCCTCAAGGCACTCAGGTTACAGAAACGTGGCACCGGTGGTGTTGACACCGCTGCCGTGGGCGGAATCTTCGACATCTCCAATCTCGACCGATTGGGATTCTCTGAAGTTGAACTGGTGCAGCAAGTATGTGATGGCGTGAACTGCCTGGTTGAGATGGAAAAGAGGCTGGAGAAAGGGGAACCCATCGATGACATCTTACCAAAATCTATGAGACCAGAGGCACCTGCCCAAACACCAGCAGCTGAGACAGCCGAACAAACTCCCGCCGCAGAAGAACAGGCACCAGCCACCGAACAAGCACCAGCCGAGGAACAGGCACCAGCAGAGGATGGCGCCGCAGCTGAAGCTGAGAATAAAGATGAAGGAGCAGCGCCAGCAGAGCAAAAACCAGCTGAAGAAGAAAAGAAAGAGGGAGAAAGTGCACCAGCAGAATCCTAAAATATCGCATTCTCAGCTTGAAGACTTTATGATTGCCCAAAAATATTGCCTTTGATTGGTTTTTGTATCTTAGATATTCCACAAACAATTCAGATTTGGATTTGTCACTTGGGAAAATTCATCTAAAGACTAACACCCTACAAATTTACTGTGTGCTATTTTTTTCAGCTATTTATAAACATGGCATTCTCGTGGAATAAAAGATACTGATCTAGCAGGACCAATACCATTTGAATGTAGAACCTTCACAAAAAGACATCTGATAGAAATAAGCCAGCAAACGATAGCTGTACCCTTACTACCATCTATTATAGTAGAAAGGGATCAGTTCATCATAATATTGTTCAGCACAAATACAGCCCTTAATGAAAATATATCTTGTTGCAGATTCCCATTTAATTTTCTTTTCCCATATTTATTATTTATCGCTTAAAGCTGGGATGTCTCTTAGCTTCAGAACTTCAAGTGAGGATGGTAACCATTGCTTGCCACTGAAAAAGGCATATTTTTTTTTGCTTAACCGTCACTAGTTTTTACTTGCCTGTTATTAACAAGTTTTCCATCTATGCATATTTTGTACATAAAATACACGTCATGTTTGTGTTTGTTTTTTGATGGGGTAAATTATTTGATCATATTTAATATGTCGAGTTGAGGTACAAGTTTTAAATGAGTAGTGAATAGAGAGGCCAAATCAATGTAAAGGACTTGATATTTATAAAGAAAGTGTCTTATGCATAAAATGATACTAGATCAATTTTTTTTACTTTGCTGTCTCATCACAATTGATAATTTTGCTTTATCCAAGCACTTAAATGTTTATTATGAAGCGTTGGTTAACTTTGGAAGGTAAACATTCCTTATGTTGTCAAGACAAACATTCTTGTACAGTGAACTGGGCTTTTTTGTGAATAAAGAGTGAAGTTTTTTGTGAATGTTGTGTTTTTTGTTTTTTTCCCAAATAATCAGAGAGGGTGAAAAAGGTTTATAAGTTAACAATCATTTTAGAAAGAAGGCAAAAGAGTAAAATATCTGTATAATCATTAAATCTACCATCATGTGAGAGGAGCTAGGAAAAGGTATCTTTGCCAAAATCAAGCAAATAACTAATATTTTTTTGAAAAAAAAAAAAAAAAAAATCCAATTATGTCGATTTTTAAAAATAAAAGTAAAAACAATCCCATCAAACTGGTTTTCAAAAGCATATTAACCAAACAATTCACTCAGTAAATTTGAAGTAAAACAAAAAATATGGCCTGGCATTTAAAGAGACTGGTGTCAGACAGTGATGACACAGACACTCCAAAATCATATATACAGATATATAAAGTACTCACATAAAATATCAAAACATAACAACTGCAATATTACAATTTTATTGACCCTTGTTTCATAACATTTATCCCTTACGAAAAAGTCCTATAGGATCCTATAAGATCCTATAGGAAATTGGCCCAATTTCCTATAGGATCCTATAGGATCTTATAGGATCCTATAGGACTTTTTCGTTAGGGATGCTCAATCATGATCAACACATTACTCTACTTCAATCACTTGACTGATTTAGAGAAAAGATGTTTTATTCTTGCTTTTCAGCCTGGCCTTTTTTATCATACTTTTTTTAATGCATTCTACTGTTAAGCATCAACATTTCCTGTATAAGAAGTTTCACAACCACTCTCTGGGTAATAACAGTAACCATGGCATATATCTAGGTCAAGGTCATTTACTTGGGACCATTTACAAATGACCTTCATCTCAATATAAGTCACTAGTTATAAGCAAAGCCTGTAGAAGCATACTCATTCACATAAACATGAATAGTGCTTTTCATATCATATTCAGTTTATCACAACTGAAAGATGAAGAAACAAATTGATGAAAATTAACAAGGCAAATTTTACTTCATGACCTTACCCCAGATTGAAAAATAATTGATGAGCACTATGTATCGTTATAATTCTTTATAGTTTCATAAGATAAGTTAATATTACACAAAGTTCAAAAATCAATCAATAAATAAACAAGATGAAATGTCCATTTTATCATAAGAATCTTGATCCTTCATCACAATTCCTCCCAAACTGAGTCTGGATCAAAAACATCTCTCATTGAGTAACATGTCTCTTTAAAGTAACTTAGTCATCATCCCAGTCTTCATCATCATCTTCTTCATCTTCTTCCTCATCTTCCTCATCATCTGAAAATATAAAATTACATGTAACTACTTTTGCATACACTAATTTGGCTGTAGAAAATGTAAAATATTTTACCATTTAAGTGTGCTAACTGTAGTACATTAAACTCCAGTGCAATTTTTAGTGAGGCTAGAAGAAATGTTAACTATTCATTTACCGTACTACTTTTTTGGCTCTTAAATTTTGTGAAAATATAGGTAAAATATCTTTTAAATAATTTCATAAAATTTACCAATGATTTTATCCAACAATTTTAATTTATTTAAATAATCTTATCTTATATATATATATTTATTATTATTTTTTTTTAATTTTTTTTTTTTGGGGGGGGGGGGGGGGGGGGGGAGGAGGGGGGTGAACCCTAAACCCCTTTGGACAAACATACCTGATCCCTGTATAATATTCTTCCTACTGGCCAGAGCTTTGGCCAAGGCAGCCGCTATTCCCCCTCCATCCTCTGGGGTGGCTGATTTGGGACGCTCATTGGGATTATCCTCAACCTGATAAATAAATAAATAAATAACTTTCTGCTGACTTTAATGAAGACTTCCTATTTAGTACATACAGTACAATTGATGTTCTGATAATTGCAACCTAAAACTGAGAATAAAACTACCTTTCACCATGATCACATGATACATTTCCACATTCTGCCAAATTTCCAACTTCGTAAAACAAAATCCGAAAAAGTTTCCCAAAAATCATCAACTTGTCATCATGATAACTTTAATTTCACTTGTATTTCACAGTACTCACAGATTTCAGCCCTCCCTTCTGGAAGCCTCGTATGGAGTCCAGCAGGTTTCCCCTGGAGTCTACAGGTCCTGCTGGTTTGGGGGCATTGGGGTCCACGTGCTTCAGAGTGGTACCTGTCTGTATCTGGCTCAGCAGTCCCCCTCTACCCCCTCCACCTGGGGGACCCATGGGGGGTGGTGGGGCACCAGGGGGAGGGGGTGGTGGTGGTGGTGGACCCCCACCTGGAGGAGGGGGTGGAGGAGGAGGGGGAGGACCACCCATGGCAGGCGGGGGTGGTGGGGGTGGGACCCCCATTGATGGGGGTGGAGGAGGGGGCATGCCTCCTCGTGATGGGGGTGGAGGAGGTGGGGCTCCCATTCGCCCACCTGGGGGAGGCGGGGGTCTGCCATCCCTTGAGGGTGGGGGCGGGGGTGGCATGCCTGCCCTGGAGGGAGGGGGTGGGGGTGCTCCCATGTTTCTGGAGGGAGGGGGAGGGGGTGGCATCCCAGCTCTGGAAGGTGGCGGTGGTGGTGGACCAGCCCCTGAAAATAGAAAATACTGTGTCAAAGCATATATTGTTGTGAGTGTCTGAAAATCACAAATCCTGAAAAATAAGTAAATTATAGAGGCATTTAAAAATGACAAATGATTACTGTATAACATTTGGACTGGCACTAACCTGGCGGGGGTGCGGGTGGTCTACCCCCTTTCATCTCCTGCTTTAAGGCATCAAAGCCGCCATGTTGCTCAACAAAGTCGTAGATGAACTTGGCTGTGTCTTTGTCCTTGAGGTCAGTATCTTGGACGCCAATTGAACTGAATAATTCTTTCATGTCCGGATCCAGCTTCTCTGTCTGTAAGAGCATTATACAGAGATATAAGTGATGTTCTCAAACTGTAGAAATTTCTTTTAAAATGTCGTATTATAGTTTATTTTTCAGCAAATGAATGGTTTTTTTTCTCTAGTTTGCAATATTCCAAATTAAAATAAAGCTGATGTTAGAATTTTAGGAAAATCAATCTCACCAAGAAATACAGGTTTTTACTTCATACACAACCACAGCTTTCAGCTTTTATTATTTTATCACTTTTTTGGTTGGACATTAAAAAGGAAGCTTTTATACATCCAACTTTACTAAAATCAATCAATCATATTACCCTGTGCACCTTTCAAAATACCAGAAAGAATCGTTCCTACTTACGTCAAATCCACTGTTAGGATCCCATCCAATATGGCTGACATGCCTGCAAACAAAGCAAGGAAGGAGTTATATTGAATGAAGAATCTACAGACCTGCTGCCAGCAATCTCAAAGGAAGGGGTTTCCTTTTCTGAACATATTAGACCATATTTACCAAGGAACCTGTTCTCTCAAAACCTAAGACAATTTTTCAATTCAGTATGGACCTTTTCTGAGCCAAAAGAACACCTCTTGTGGACCCATCTTACCTAAGGGCCAATATGATATGATGTCTATGCTACCTGTTCAGCAAAACTTTGAACAAGTCAACACATGAACAAATACACAAAATATATCTGTATCTCTGGCAACTGAGACTTTTTATAATGTTTTATTTGCAAACCAATGCATATAACTAATCCATCAAATCCAGACATGTTATCTTTGAGGAAGTGAAGGCAGAGATGTACTCCAAGCAAACACTCAATAAGAATATTATTTTGCCTCAAATTTCTGCATGCAATTCCACTGTAAAATGTTTTGAAGTATGCTACAATACTGATCTGACCCGTGCATATTCAATATTCAATTTCTAATTTCTTCACATACCGTTAAATTCACAATAGTATATAGCATCTCATTAGTAAGAAGTCTACTAAGGAATCCAATTTTTCAGTTATAACATAAGATTTAGAAATGTCTTCTACATTATGCTTAGCAAATTTTCAAACTGCAATTACATCTTTTTAATGATGGTGGTGTCAAATTTACCTGAAATCAGATGGCAAACCAATATCTTCCTTGGTAAACTTTGCCTTTTTCCCTCCTTTTTTGTCCTTGTCTTTCTTCTTCTTCAGTGTCTTGGTGTCATCCAGGCTGGTGGTGCTCACAGACAGGGAGGCTGGAATGGAAAGGTCAAAATTGTCAAAAAAAAAAAAAAAAAAAAAAGTTCTAGATGTAAGTTGTAATATTGGACAAGATGATAAACTTGATTTAATATCTACCCCTCCACGAAAAAAGGCCCCTCAGTGATTCAGTGTTCTCAACATTTAAAAATGATAAGGTTTTTTTATTTTTTTTTTCAAAAACAACACTTTTCATTGTTAAAAAAAACATTGGCCTGGTAAGACAGTATTATTTTAAAATAACTGTTATCATTTGAACGCATATCATAACTATTGTAAGAGTATATAGACTATGTACGTGTGGTGCTTGGAGGAGGGACAGCTGGGGTGCCCTGGTTACGTGGGGGCTGAACTGTCTTCCTACGCTCTGAAAGATAAGAAAGATGAGAACTGCTGTTATAGTAAATCAATTTTGAAGAGACAGACCAATGAGGCTTTTTCTTTCACTATCAGATTTGTCTTGAATCTCCCTCAAAGTCATCCTCATCACTACACAAAGGGAAAATGAAAAACCCTTTTTACTGAAGAATTACAGTTTTCTACAATATGAAATGTTGTCAAGATTGTCTGGATTTTTTATTGCTCTACTTTTTTTTCTTAAAGAAGTAAATAAAAGCACACATTTAAAGCAGTGAAAAAACATCTAAAATATACCACACCAATGTAACAACTCATGAAGTAAGTTAAGTAACAAACTCAATGAGTATTCCTATCGTACCAGTCCTCCTCCTGGCCTTCTCCTGCAGCTTTACCTCCACGGCCTTCTGGAAACGCTCGGCCTCATTCTCATTGGCAAAGTTCAGTCCAGCAGGGCAGTCCTGGAAGAACACATGATGTGGAGGTCACAAAATTTGTTCGCTCTTTATCTCCTTTTTCCATTTAATCGTATCAAATTATTCTTACCTAAATGACGTACATCTTTTTATTTGGCAAAATCTAGACAAGTAAAAACTTGTGTAAAAACATTTTACTCTTTCAATAGAAAAAATATATTTATATACTATTATGTCAATTATGTCTGAACAACATGAGTTTTTGGTAATATTTAGAATAGCTCATTCAAATCTGTTTCAAGTGATCTGACTTTGAAAGTAAATTGTTGTGAGAGTCTGACAAAGCAATAAATCTAGAAAAGTTAAAATATCAGAAAAAAGTTTTTGAAAATCTAAAGCACCTACCACAATCTAAGAGAAAATTGGAGTAGAATGTGGTAGGTGTGATGTGAAGAATGTGTTTTACATTGCATTAGACTGAAAACCAGGGACCTGTTTCACAAAAACTGGTCTAAACTGTCAGACCAAGGGTTTAGCCTACTTGACCTAATCATTTGATGAAATTGATAAATTATCTATAAAATATATATATGAAAAAAATTGCATGGTTATTAACATGGACTGCTATGGCTTTATCATGTACAGAAAAAGAATGCAGACCAATTTTTGGGGCTTAATTTTTTGGGGGGGCTAAATTTCTTTTTGTAAGATAAACCAGAGGGCTGGAGGAAAAAACCTTTGTAAACATATACTAAGTGAGACAAACAGTTTTCATCCCTGATCCCCCCCCCCTCTCTCTCTCTCTCTTTCTCTCTCTCTCTCTCTCTCTCTCTCTCTCTCTCTCTCTCTCTCGCTCTCTCTCTGCTTGGTGGAGTATACTTACATCAGTATCAAAGGTATGGAAGTAAGGCCGGGGAGTCTTGTACTTGAACCCATTGTACAGCTCCTGTTCCCACAACAGTCCCTGGGTCTGGAAACAAATAATCGATATTAATTTTTCTATTAACTTAAATTATTGTTTTATACTATGATATTATATTTAGGTTTCTGGATGAAAAATCATATAAAACATCGATAAAGTTAATGGAAACCTATATCATATCATATTATGTAATCAATGAAAAAAAATCCAACATTTTTCTCCAAAAATTAGAATATGATCAGTATATGGCTAAAATTTCCCAGACCAGTTTAAAAACTGGATCAAATTTCAAACACAAGTGTCTACAGTTGTTTTGTTTTTTTTTCTTTTAACTAAGCCACGCATATTCTGACTGGGTGGCCATCACTCACAGTAACATAACTGAGCACAGAAATAGATGCAAAAGCCACAAAACAGGAAAACAAAAGCAATTGAAACCCCTAGGACCACCTGAAAATTAGATGAAGTTACTCAACACTTAATTCAGCGTCAAAGACATTTTGAAAATGTCAGACACAAGACCACAATTCTACTTAGTTCAAATAGAGAATGGTTCCAGATCAGTCATGCAGCAAGCTTTGCATGACTTTTAAAAATTTAACATGTCTCAGGTTGCCTTACAACAATTTAACTTCTAAATTTCAATGGTGAGGCATATAAATTTCAAGTTACTTGGAAAAATATATAAATACCCAAAAAAAACCCCACTTACAGCCACAAAAATTGCATTTTTTAAATATGTTAAAAGTACTTCATAACAGCCTTCACTCTGCTAAAGAAATCATCAAATGTAACTATACTGTATTGGACTTAACAAAGGTCCAGTCCCACCACATGTGAATTCATCCCTACCCAGCATAAACTCATCCCTATCCCAAGTGAACTCATCTCTCTCTCATGTGAACTCTCCTGTCTATCCCACGTGAAATCATCCATATCCCAAGTGAACTCATCCCTATCTTATGTGAAGTTGTGAACTCATCCCAAGTGGATAAGGGGATAATATGAACACTTTCAATTTTCTGTTTTGTTTTTTTTCAGTTGGGTAAACTAACAATTTTATCAAATATACAATTTCATATTTTAAACATATCATTGTGTAGGGGTATCTTTTTTTTTTTTTTTGAGGGGAGGGGGAGTACACTTCCAATTATTTTTCTTTGTAACTACTTTAGGAACTTAGTGCATGAGTACTCATTCTCAGTGAGGTAATTTAAATTTACAGCCCAAGATCAACAGTATTACATTAGCCCAGTACACTGTGGGTGGGAGACCCAGAGCTCAAGACAAATTAACACCACTGCAATATTTCACACACAAATTTCTCCAACAATCTTGAAAGATTTTGGGAGGCAACAGTGCATAAGCACCAGTAACGTAGCTGTAAAAGTTAGCTTTAAAAGTTTTACTGCCTCCCAACCCCAACCCAAAGTAATATACAGGCACTAAAACTGTTCTTTATCCAGACTTTGATCCCATATTTTTTAATTTTCTTGAAATAGAGCCACAGTTGCAGCTGATCTAGCATTATTTTAACTTTCTTGCAAAACTCAATATTCCAGACTTATTGTCAGAAGAAAATGACTTAATTCTAATCACTCAGTGCATAATGTTTAAGTTAATGTGGTTAGCATGGTGATTAATTGGAAGAGTTGATTAAGGGAACAAACAGACTTCCAGCAAGGGTCAGGAATATAATTGCATTTACACACATTTATACCATGCACATTGTGGAAAAAAAAAAAAAAAAAAAAACATTGAAACAGAACTAAAAGTACCCTTTCTACATTTTCTTAGGGTATTTGGGATCTGTAAAAAAACTTAAGAGCAAGTGTACTAATGAAACCTGAGTTTTATAATTCTGTTTGTTTTCTGTAGCAATAAATCAAGCTTTAAACACAGTAAATGAAAGTTTTATAGCCGTGTTTATTTTCTCTCCTCCAGACAGTATTTAATCAAGCTCCTATCGGTTGCTATTAGTTCAGTCTATTTTGGAGTGTTATGGAACTCAAACCACCCTTCAGTTATCAGGATTCAACGCAGGGTTCCCCTGTTTTCAACTTACTTGCAAGTGTTTTGCAAGCGTTTTAAGTATTAACAGCACATTCTCAGGTTAGAGGTGGAACCAGACTCAGATTGTGAACTTCCTCAACACGGCAGAGAAAATTCATCCCTCGACAGCAGAGTGTTCCTCATTCTTTGTCATAATTTCATCTTGTAATAGAATAGAGGTGAAGTTAATATAAGATTTCACTTCACACAGGGAGCAATTTCTTCTAAATGGCAGCAAATGGGCCCTGATTCTCTGTTAAACTCATGACTGGTGGTGGTGGTGGACCACAGGGTGGTGGGGGTGGTCATATTCAATAACATAGGACAGATGGGGCCCCCCTTCCTTTACTATTAACAAAGTGATCCTATTTCTCTGTCATCAACACATTTATTGTTAGATCGTGAAATTCCTGAGGTAAGCTTTCATTAACAGGTGGCAAATAATGCAGTTTATGCCACTTAATGTAACCCTGGCAATGTGCAGCGTAGGGGGTAAAGAATTTCAGGTAAGACATGGCAATTACTGCAACCCTGTGGAGGTGAGATGGGGGGTAAGGAATTTCAGGTAAGGCATGACAGTTTATGTAGATATGACCATAGATGTGGACAGTGTCCTGGGGTACAAAGAGGGGGAAAAACTGTGACATAAATAAATAAATTAATTAATAAATAAAAAAATAAATAAAATATCACGCATTCCTACCTACTAGTATACCAGTATAAAAGAAGACTAATATTAAGACAGCCCCTGAATGAACTCCACTAATGCTGCATTCTTCTTTTTTTCTTAAAATATTTCACGGGGAAATATACGGATCTCAGGACTTCAAAACATTTCGGATAAATTTCTCAACTGAATGCTTCAAGATTTTACAGTCTGATAAAAGAATCAGACAGACAATGAACCTCTCTATGGCCCCCCTCTCTCTCTATCTCATAAAAAAAAAAAAAAAAAAAAAAAAAAACGTCTGGTGAGTAATTTACAACTCGGACCTTGTGTAAGAGGTCAGGTGAACTTTAGACTTTTCAACTTGAAAATAAGTGGCAACGTTTTGGTTGCTATTATTGAAAATGGATGAAATGTTTATCCTGTCCAATCTGGGTCTGTCATAGGTCAGATAAAGTTATTTCACCAGATATCAGTGTTATAAATTGTCTGTTTTGACCAGGGTCGAGTCTGACCTTGAAATACTTTGACCTTCTTGCTGAAATAATAACAAGTATAGCTGAACACTGAAGACTTTTGATATATTTCAATTCTTTATACAACTATTAGCAAAACAGTGACTTAAAATGACCGACTGACACCAAGCACTTGCAAGCTACAAATTATAAACAATCTTAAATTTATATCTTAAAACGAACAAAAACACAATTAAATAGAATTAGGAAGTTTGAATGATTTATTATTTTTGTAACCCACGTTTTTCACAGTTTAACCTTACAGACCTTCTTCATTCATAAAAGGAAGTCCATTTTTAAAAATGGAGTGTGTATAACAGTCAGGTGGTCAAGTATGGTACTGTAAGAATTCTTCACAGGAAAAAAAATGAAAAGCAAAAAATCTCCCTGAAATTGGATCCCCCGGAAAACACTTCATACATCCCATAAACACAATCAGTAGTGGCCATAAACATCCTGGCCAATAAAAATACCATTAGAGCTTTTAGTAATCAATAAACTCTCATGGGATCATATCAGGTTGTAACATAGGGATGTCAGGTGAATTCTGAGTCCAAATGTGAGAATTTTTAAATAAACTCTAGTTAATGCAATGTCTCAGCAAACAATGTGATCTCTCTCTCCCTCTCTTATCCATTCATTTATCCATCCATCCATCCTTTTCTATCATGTGAGTTTCATTATCTTAACCTGATTATAGACATCATTCAATTGTTTTAATTTCTATTACGGTGAACAATTTTTAAAGATAAATTTTTTTTTCGGAGGGGGCAGGGGGGATAATCATTATCATTTGCTAGCAATTTTATAATGCATGTTTCAGACAAACTGCTTGATTTCAACTCTACATGCTCCCTCCCTAATCCAGTTCTTTTTCTTAAAAACACCATAATTTGAAAGTCTAACATTCCACAACCGGCCAACCCCTGTAATTTTCTTCCTTACCTACTTCTGGTAAAGTGCATTTTGAAATTATCAATCTCAAAACATGGGAGACAATTTTACAGGTAGGATAAAACGTAAAGTGGAAAATAATCCCATCACTTTTTTTTAATAACGAAAGAGGTTGAGAATTCTTCTTTCCTTTTTTTTTCTTTTCTTCTTTACCCCAAGTTCCCAAAGCCACATTCTTACACGTTGTATGATCTATTATTTTCACGCCAAATTGTCTATAAAAGGCATTCATCCCTGTACTAAACTAGCACAGTCATTGGCCCCTCTGAAGAGCCCCGTTGTTTTGTGGCGATACTCAAAGCATAGCTGGAGAGCAAAAGAAAACTGCATGAAACATTCCCTGACAAAAATCGGTGCCAATCTAACAAAGAAGACTTTCTTTTTATTTCCCCTTTCAAATTTTGTGTAGTACATTGTAGTTTTTACATGTTAATGACAAATTTAGTATCAATATATAACCATTTGAAAAAAAAGAATACTATGAACTAATTTTTTTTAACTTAAAAATTTAGACCGTCATTGTTTATCTATTATTTAATTTTTCTGTACAGTGCTGTAATCTTCCCAAGGAAGTCTTACTGTTAAAAAACAAAAACAGAAAGCAGTGATGTATAAGACACATCAAAGCGATTTCTCCAATCCATCAAAATCCCCCATAAAACTTTCTTAAGGCAGATATTATGATTCACAATTTTTTATCAAAGACTGTTACTGTTAAAAAAACCACAAAGCAGTGTTGTCTAGACATATCAGAGTAATTTCTCCAATCCATGAAAAAAAGTCAAGTTCCATTGCTCTGCCAAAATGTATGATGTAAGGATAACAGTGATATATACAACTCTCTTTCTACCAAGGATGTA